ATGAACTAGCAAGCAGGTGGGTACAAGTAGGAAAACCTAAAAGTGTTGTACCCCATATTGTCTACCCCACTACAGCCTACACAGACTATAGCATATGAGTTTGACATATTAAACTCGACTCGAACCGTCCAGTTTTTTTCTGTGGAAAATGTAGACTCGTAACTTGATATTTTTCGAGTCCCTAGCGCGATTCGAGCTTAAACTTGACTCATATGCCCTTGAATATCCCACGCTGGACTAGACCAAGATTGCAAAGCTGGGAATTAGGCCCAGTTTGCCTTCCGCAACTGCTGGGTTTTGGGCGTGATTGTGTTGTGCTTTCTCACCGAATCTCTTCTAAGGAGTTTCCCAAACCAAGTCTTCAAGCGTTGACTCTGTTGTGTAGTTGAGGTTTCGACCTGGAAGCTTCTGACACAAGGGTGCGTGCAGGAATAGGGAGGGGGGAGGGGGGGGTGGTGGGTGGTGGTTGCTGCTGTGGAAATGGGGATGTAAGAGTAGGTGTGTGAGGGAATGATTTTGGGTACGATGCTCTGCTGCTGTATAGTCCACTGCAGGAGACTCGGATGGTGCAGGATAACCTATTGTCAAGGGTGAATCACTTTTGAGAATTCTCAGAAGTTCAGGTGCGGTTAGGAATGGATAGCTTAGCCTCCAAGGTGAATCACTTTTGAGAATTCTCAAAAGTTAAGGTGCGGTCAGGAATGGATAGTCTAGTGTCCAGGGTGAATGGGGAGTGTGGGGGATGTGAGTGTGTGTGGTGTGGGAGCTGACTTATGAGTCGACTCTAGAGGCCAGGGATGGATAGTAGGGTGAATGGGGAGTTTGGGGATGCGAGTGTGTCCAGAGTTCAGGGTCCCGCGCTTTCATTGAACACGCTCGTGTGTCCAGGGTGAATGGGGAGTGGTGTGGGTGTGGAGAATATGAGTGGGAGGATGTGAATGTGGGTGGTGTTGTTGTGAACCTGTTCGCAATAAAGCAATGCTCTGAAGTCGAGGGGTTGGGGGCATGAGCCACAAGATCAGGGGGGTGCAAGAAACCTGATGCTGGGAGTAGTTTCAGGCAGTTCCATGCAAGATTCTGTCGGAAATGGTGGGTTGTGGTGAGAGGTGGCTGCACTTTTGTTCCTCACCGCCGTTTAAAATATGTGCGTGTGCATGCGTCCGTGTGTCCGTCCGTTCGTTGGACTGTCCTCAGTGTCTCTCGTGGGTCTGTGTGACTGTCTGTGAGTATGTATGGATGGAGGTCATATGTGCAGGCCTTGTTCTTCCTCTTCCATTCTGTTCAACCTGATGGTTGACCTACAGATTTGTGTGGATGTTGTTGACGCCCGACCACTCTCTGGCATTTCATGTTCGACCAAGCGACTGTACAGTGTAAGGCGTGGAGACACATGCGGCATGTCGATCGTTAAGAAATATGGCCGCAGCACTAATATGTTTAGGATTCTGAACAATGGATATGATTGTACTGTAAATAGGTTGTGAATTGGGATGTTGCTTTGTTTACCCTAATGACTGTCATTGCCTAGATAGAAAACCTACACAAATCACTTGTTATGCCACTGTATGCATGCACTCTCAACAAATCATACTATACAAAAAAGACTTACTGCAATATTATATGGTATAAGCTTGTTCCATTTCTGCACCATTACTGAACAGTACCCACCGAACTTAAGCTGGAGCTATCATAGTATGGTACTCTGGTGGAGGTTGTAGCGCTGATGGTGGTAAATGTCGGTAAACCAAAACTTAAATGTGTGGGCGATGACGGTAAATCCTAATGAAACCACCAGCGCATCAACAGGGCTCAAGCTATACTATAGGTAAATGGGACAAAAATAGGATACGAAAGAACCATCTCATTGTGTACAAACGGTTTTACATACGGTACCGTATCACATCGAATGCATTAATTTGATCACATCTAATGCATATTCACATCGAATGCACTACCGTCACCCCCCCGATAAGCCCCCATGGGGGGGTATAATAAAACAGGTTTTTTTAGGGGGGTGGGCTTATAATGTAGTAAATTTATAAGCGCCGGCGTTAGTGTTATGTCGAAATTGAAATTAAGTTTTTAATATATGAAATCGAAGCATTTGTAAAGGCGGATTCACCTAAGTCAAGAACGTTCGAAACCGTGCATGTTTTTCGCGTGAAAAGGCCAACAAGACGTGGCTTTACGCCTTCCACACCTTGTTGGCCAGGCCTGGTTCATCGAACGTGAACCTAGCCCATGCCAGCGCACACGTACTTCGTATCACGACTGCCCAATCAGGGCATGCGGTCTAGGGCACGTCATGGTTCAGCCACGACGTGCCCATCTAGAGCATGATTCCCCTCCACCGAGGCATAGAGCTGACCAGCTCAGCTCCTCTGCAGGGAATCTTGAATGTGGCCACCCCTTCCCCGAAGAGGAGGCCGGGCCGCGAAACTGGAGGGGTCTCGGGCGAGGGCTTCATACAGCCCCCATTCTCAAATTTCTCTTCACAATTTTTTCTTCGTTTGGCCTGCCGTGACCATGGTGGGCCTTCCAGGCACGCATATTCCTTTCCGTCGCCAACCTATTGCTAAAAAAAATACCCATAAAAACAACCGTGACTACTCGCAGTGGCAGAGCCGCCCTGTGCCCGTCTGTGAGAGTACGACGGCTTATGTCAGCTATGCTTACTTGCCTTTATTTTATTATGCTATTTCTAGCATAGGAAAATTATATGCATGCATGAATTGCTTGATTTCCTAGGCTAGGTGCTTTCCTATATTTTATTATAGTTATAGCACCGAGCTAGGTTGCGTGCACCGAATTCTGGCTTTTCGGTTGCCACCGAATTGCCTTCTACCGAATTCGGGAAGGATCTGTTCGGGACGCTTCGCGACCCGCGGAACCTTCGCGTAACACCTGGTTACGGGGCCTTGTGTCAAGCCTATATATAGCCTCGTGTTGTACCCAGGTGATCATTCAATTCACATTCTCTTTTCTGAGCTCGATCCTAGATCCTCACACCGTCCCTCCACCACAGCTAGTCGTGCCTCCTGCTCCTCCCACTCCTCCAATGCCTCCTAACCCTCCCACTCCCCCGACGCCTCCGGCTCCTCCCGCTCCTCCGTCCCCTCCCGAGCCGCCAGTCTTCAGTGTTCCACGTCAAGGGGTTCTGCAACTTCTCCTTCCTCCTGGCTACTCGGAGTTCGACGCTTACCTGTCCGAACCCGACCGCAGCGGCGCCGAAGCATCTTCCTCCGCACCGTCGCCACGCTGGGGGATCCCGGCTGATTGCCCATTGGACGAATCCGCGACCGGTGCCGAGGATGGTGTGGAGTTCTGGGTTGGCGACGATCTTCCCGAGCACCTGCCTATTCCCACCTATCCCCCTCCTAATAAAAAACGGCCCCACCCTTCTCGCAAGAATCGCGATGCCCGTCCTCCCTCCCCCAGGCACAAGCCTACAACTCACAAGCGCCATTTTTACACTTCACAGGAGAAGCTGCAGTGGATTCTTAAGCTTGAATCCGGTCAGATGAGTGTGCGGCGGATGTCTCGCGAATCCGGCATCTCCTGAAGGTCACTAGCAAAGTGGAAGACTCGGAAGGCTGAGTTGGAGGGCGTGCATGCTGCTCGCAAGCACCTTCATGGGCGCGGAAGGAGCTCGTGGTATCGCGACATGGAAGCAGAGGTTTACAGGAAGTTTATGCCCACTGAGCTAAGTGTCTTGCCGTCTCCATCGCACGCCTGCAGAAGTGGTCGCACGAGGTGATGAAAGAACTACATCCAGAGGTAAAGTGGGCCGGCTCTCAGTGGTGGACGGATCGCTTTCACCGCTGCTGGAACCTGACAACCCTAGCAAAGACCAGGGTCGGCCAGAAGCTTGCGGCTAGTAAGTTGTTTTTTAATCCGTCGTTTACAGTTTTTTGTTTTGCGGTGTTTGCATGTTCTCGCCTGACGGTATTATCCCATCCCGTCACTCATCATGTGTTTATTTTTTCTCTCGTTTCCTCCCATCCATACTCCCAGACTGCGAGCTTGATGTCAGGAACTTCTGGAAGTTTGTGCGTCACACCCGCCGCCAATACAAGATCGACCCCTTAGTGGATTATTAACGCGGACCAGACGCCACTCTAGCTCGAGATGCCAGCCGCACGCACCGTCGAAGAGGTGGGCTTGCGCTCTGTGCCCATCCGCAGCGGCGGCTATCAGAAAGAGCGAGTTACAGTGATGCTCGCCTGCACCGCCAGCAGTGAGAAGCTGAAGCCGTGGGTCTTCTTCAAACGGAAGACTGTCCCCAAAGGGAATTTCCCTTCAGGTAAGCTTTACCACCCACTGCTACATGTATATCGTGTTATTAGTTTATACTAATATAAGTGTGTTTGTTGCTGTGCAGATGTCGTCGTGTCCGTCAATCCCAACGGTTGGATGGAGGCGAACGGTGTCATCGCGTGGCTCGACGGGGCGGTCAAGCCGTACGTCAACCCCAAGTTCAGAGTCCGCCCCCGCAAAGCAATGCTCGTCCTGGATTCGTACCGCAGGCACCTGAATGCGGAGGTGAAGCAGAAGTTCGGCGAGTTGAATCTTGTCCCTGCCGTTATTCCAGCTGGCTGCACCTCGGAGATTCAACCCCTCGATGTCGCGGTGAATCGCTCCTTCAAGGCCGCCGTTCGCCAACTCTATCAGGAGTGGTTTGAGAGCGAGGGGGTCCACACCTTGACGAAGAAAGGTGAGACCGGCCGCCCATATGTGTGTGTGTTTATCGTTTTGTAAACCGTAATGACTCTGGTTCTTGAATTTCGTGGCAGGCAACATCAAGAAGCCTCCACCCGAGGTGACACTCAAGTGGATCTTAGCGGCTTGGAAGGCCATGCCCAAGGACCTGATTTAACGGGCATTTCTCACGTGCGGCATCAGCAACGCCCTGGATGGGTCCCAGGACAAGCTCTACCTGCAACACAGGCGAGATGAGCTCGAGGGCGATGAAATCGAGATGGATGATGAGATTGCAGCAAATGGTGTTGTAATTTCATATTTCATACAACATACATAAGCTAGAATTAGATCTGTAGCACACTTATAAATTGGGGGGTTGGTTAGTGTACCCTCCAACCACATTTTGTGGTTGGTTGGGATTGGTCCTTAGCTCAACCAATCCCAACCAACACACATTTGTGGTTGCTTGGGTCACAAGCAAGCTCACCCATTGGCCAACTTATTGGCCAATAGAGTAAGCTTCCCTTTCATCTCTCTCTTGCTCATTGTTTGTACTAAAGGGCCTCTTGGCTCATTACTCAATACATCAATTCTAGCTTTTCAACATGGTATCATGAGCTATTGGCTCACGCCTTAATCCCTCGGACCTTAGGCCACCCTCTCCTCCCCAGCTCAGATCTACTCCTCCCAAGCTCAGATCTCCTCCTCCCGAGCTCAGATCCACTCCTCCCCAGCTCAGATCTACTCCTCCCCAGCTCAGATCTACTCCTCCCCAGCTCAGATCTACTCCTCCCAAGCTCAGATCTCCTCCTCCCGAGCTCAGATCTCCTCCTCCCCTGCTCAGATCTACTCCTCCCGAGCTCAGATCTCCTCCTCCCGAGCTCAGATCTCCTCCTCCCGAGCTCAGATCTCCTCCTCCCGAGCTCAGATCTCCTCCTCCCCAGCTCAGATCTCCTCCTCCCCAGCTCAGATCCACTCCTCCCCAGCTCAGATCTACTCCTCCCGAGCTCAGATCTACTCCTCCCGAGCTCAGATCTCCTCCTCCCGAGCTCAGATCTACTCCTCCCGAGCTCAGATCTCCTCCTCCCGAGCTCAGATCTACTCCTCCCGAGCTCAGATCTACTCCTCCCCAGCTCAGATCTACTCCTCCTGCGCTCAGATCTGCACATTTCGCGCTCAGATCTGCACATTCCACGCTCTGGTCTACTCTCTCGCGCCCAAATCCGCGCCCTGCCCGTCCGCGCCCTGCCTGTCCGCGCGCGTCCGCCCTTCGCGTCCGCGCCATGCCCGTCCGCGCGCTCTGCTCGTCCGCCCTTCGCGTCCGCGCCTTGCCCATCCGCGCTCTGCCCGTCCGCGCGCTCTGCTCGTCCGCCCCGCGCGTCCGCGCCCTGCCCGTCCGCGCGCCCTGCTCATCTTCCCTTCACGTCCGCGCCCTGCCCGTCACACGCCCTAGTCAACCGCACCCTGGCCGTCCGTACCCCCTGCTCGTCTGCACGAACTACTCGTCTGCCCTGCTCGTCCGCCCTGCTCGTCCCCGCTCCGGTCGTCCACGCTCTCCCCCCCCGCGCACTCGTTGCACGCCCTCCTTCCCCGCTCGCCTCCCTGGCATACCGCACACTTGGCAGCATATACCGCACACCTGACAGCATATACCGCACACCTGACAGCACATACCGCACACCTTCATGCCCTCCTCGCCTGCGCCATGCCGTGACCGCCCACACCCCACATTGCTTTCTCCATGGCAACAGTCGCCCTGGCATGCAGCAACAGTGGTGCCGGTGGGCATGGAGGAGGGCATAGTGGTAGCTGTGGTGGTAGTCAAGGGAGACTCGCAGGATATTGTGGTATCAGGGGTTTGAGCGCAGGCTGTGGCGCAGCGGCAGCCTTCTCTCCTCGTGAATATGTGCCTCGCTATGGCCCGACTCGGGGACTTCACTTCAAACTCTCCACCCACGCCCACCATGCCCCCAGTCAACCCTTCTCTCCTCCTCCTCAGCAGCAGCAACAGCGGCGGCAGCAGCAGCAGTAGCAGCAGCAGCAGCATCAGCAGCAGCAGCAGCAACGGCAGCAACAGCAGCAGCTCCGGCACCTCCTCCTCCAGCTCCAGCAGTTGCTTCACCGCCTGCAGCAGCACCTTGACCTACAACCGCAGCTGCCTCTTCCTCCTCCTCCCCCAACTTCCCAGCAGAACTTAGTTCCGCATTGTTCCACAAGCTCCGCCACTTCAAGCAATGTCCCACCTTTCTCATCCGTTGGTATTGCTGGTATGGTCAAACAAGCCACATCAGCTGCACCTACCACATACTCCTCTAGCACTAACGAAACTGCGTTCCAGTCCTCTGTCCCTTCCTCCTCCCTCCCCCCCACAGTCGATTTCGTCCTCGACAGCGACGCCACTGACACAGTTCTTCGCGATGCTGGCACCTTGCACCCCCTCCCAACGCCTACCTCCCTCCTTGGCGCCGACAGCAGCTTCTCTATCCCCTGACATAACACCTCGACTCTCCCCTGCCCACTCTTCCCCTCAGGCACTATCACCGGTCTCCACATACCCTCTCTTCGCGCTAATCTCCTTTCGCAAAGGTCCCTTCAGCAAGCCGGTATCACCACAGTATTCCCAGGTCATGCTAACTATTGCGCTCTCTACCATTCCGCCACCGGTCAGCTACTTTCTCGCATTCCCTTTTGCCCTCGCTCCCGTCTGTACACCTTGCGGGTTCCTCGCCTCCCCTCCTGTCAGGTCATCTCTCGTCCCCCCCTCCACCCTCTCATCCCACCCCCTCCTCTCCCTCCCACTAACCCGGACCTCCCTTCACGCCCCCCCCCTGACTCCTCTTGCTCCTGTCGCTCCCTCTCCCACCCTGCCGTCCTCCTCCATCACAGGCTAGGTCACCCTAACTTCGCTACTCTACGCTCCTCTATTTCCTCCGGTCTCCTCCACGGTCTCCCCTCCTCCCTCCCTCCCCTCCCCAAATCCCCTGCCCCCCCCTGCACCGTCTGCGTTCAGAGCAAGCTCAAGCAGCAGCCGCACCGGAGCTCCCCCTCCGCTGCTGCTCAGCCACTTGATCTTGTTCACATGGACCTCTGGGGTCCCAATCCCTCTCGCACTCGCCAGGGTCATCGATACCTCCTCGTAATCGTCGATGATCACAGTCGGTACTCGTCCGTCTCTCTTCTTCAGACGAAGGCAGATGCCCCGACTGCGATCATTGCCTGGCTCGAGCGGGCAAACACCCATTTTGGGCGCCCTGTTTGCCGCCTTCACTCTGATGGTGGTGGTGAGTTCCTTTACAACCAAATATCCTCCTATTGTTAGTCTCATGGCATTCTTCAGACTTACACCCTCCCTCACTCCCCACAGCAGAACGGTGTGGCTGAAAGTCGTGTTCGAGAGATCACCAAAACTGCCCGGTGTCTTCTTGTCCACGCCTCTTGCCCTCCTTCTCTGTGGGGCTACGCCCTCCTTCATGCCGCCCTCCTTACTAACCTTTACCCTCACCCCCTTCTCCCATCCACCACCCCCACTGAGCTGTGGACGAACGAGAAGCCTGATGTCTCATCTCTTTGTGTCTGGGGCTCAAAGGCATATGTCCTTCTTCACCCCGCTGACCGCTCCCGTTCTATGGGAAAGCTTTCCCCTCGTACCCTTCTCTGCATGTTTCTTGGTCATAACTCCTACTCACCTGATTACCTTTTCCTCCATCCCCCCTCAGGTCGTCTATTCCGCAGTAGGGATGTGGTCTTTGATGAGTCCACTCCCTACTACTCCTCTCCCCCATCCACTGACCCACTCCCCCGTCTTCCCCGTCCCCTTGTCTGGTCTGACACCACCCCTCCCCCACTACTTCCTCCTCCCCCCATCCTCCCTTCCCCCCCCCCCACCGTCGTCCCCGTCCCACGGTGCCCCTCCCTCGTTTGGTGATATATTTGACCCGGAACCTTTGTCCTCTCCCGTCTCCCCCTCACATTCCTCTCCTAGTGCCCCTCCCGCCCCTCCTTCACCTCCCTCGCCGCCGACTCGTCCTTCCCCCCCTCCCCGCACCGTACTTACCCGGTACCCCCATACCAGGTCACGTGACAGTATCCTTGGTGCACTGCCCCCTGTTACCCTCTCTACCTCTACCCTCCCCCCACTCTCCCCTCTCCTTCACCACTTCTTCCAGGCTGTTCTGCATCAACCTCCTCCTGCAGCAGCCCCCTCTGCCACCTCTCCAGCAGCTGCGCCAGCAGCAGCATACGCAACGGCACCAGCAGAGGCACCAGCAACAGGACCAGCAGTGGCATCAGCAGCAGGACCAGCAGCGGCACCAGCAGCAGGACCAGCAGCGGCACCTGCAACAGGACCAGCAGCGGCTCCAGCAGCAGGACCAGCAGCGGCACCAGCAGCGGCACTAGCAGCGGGACCAGTAGAGGCACCAGCAAAAGGACCAGCAGCGGCACCAGCAGCAGGACCAGCAGCGGCACCTGCAGCAGGACCAGCAGCGGCACCAGCAGCGGCACCAGCAGCGGCACCAGCAGCGGCACGTGCAGCGGCACCAGCGGCACCAATGGTCATCCGCTCCTTCCACACCTCCCTCTGTGAGGACTCCCATGAGGATTTCCTTGACCTCCACCTCTGTGACCCTTCCCTTCTACCCATCACCTTCGACCTTTCTGGGACACCAGTATTCACATTCTCCTCTACTCCCTCCGTTTTCATCCCTACCACGTATGAGGAGGCCATGGCTTGCCCCGACGCCCCGCTCCGGCTCGCCGCCATTATCAAGGAACTGGAGGCCTTTGTCGCCAACTCCTCCTTCGTTGATGTGCCTCGCCCTCCCCCCTCTACAAACGTGGTGAAGGGGAAGTGGGTGTTTCGTGTCAAACAGCTGCCAGGGGAGCCGCCCGTCTATAAGGCTCGTTACTGTGCCAAGGGGTTCACGCAGCGGTATGGTTTTGACTTCTTCGATACCTTCTCCCCCACTGCCAAGCCTGCTACTGTTCGCGCCGTGCTCGACCTCACCGCTCGCCTCAATATGGAGATCCACTCGATGGACGTCTCTAATGCCTTCCTACAAGGCGTCCTCCGCGAGCTTATCTACATGGAGCGTCCAGCCGGTTTTCACCTTCCCTTCCCTGCAGAATCTGTCTGGCAGCTGCGTCGCCCTGTGTATGGGCTCCGACAGGCCCCGAGGGAGTGGCATGCTAAGCTTGCCGCCACCCTTGCTGAACTTGGGTTCCGCACCTTTCGCTCTGACGCCAGCCTCTTCCTCCGCACCTCTCCCTCCCCCTTCTACATCCTTGTGTATGTCGATGACATGATTCTGCTCACTGCGGACCTTGGCGAGCTGGAGCGTGTTAAGGCTGAGTTGGGCAGCCGTCTCAAGTGCAAGGACTTGGGAGAGCTGCAGCATTACCTGGGCATGACCATCACCCGCAACCGCTCCGCCCGCACCATCTCTCTCTCCCAGGGTCATTACTTGCAGCAGGTCTTGGAGTGGTTTGACATGGTCCGCGGCAGCGCCCAACCTACTCCTCTCTCTGTCGGGCACCACCTCTCTCCACCCACCTCCCCCTCAGCCTCCTCCCATCCTTATCCCGAGCTCATCGACTCCCTCGTGTACGCCATGGTCTCCACTCGCCCTGACCTTGCCTACCCCATCAGCGTCCTCGCTCGTTTTGTTGGGGCAGGCAAGCATACGGAAGAGCACTGGCAAGCCGCCAAGCGTGTCCTCCGGTACCTTCGCGGCACCAAGGACTATGTCCTTACCCTTCGCGGCCCCTCCCCACCTCTCCTCAGCGGCTACAGTGACTCCTCCTGGGCTGATTCCCGGCCAGATCGTCGCTCCTCCCAGGGCTATGGCTTCTCTCTCGGCAGCGGCCTTATCAGCTGGCGCTCCACCCGCTCCTCGGCTGTCGCCCTCTCCTCCTGCGAGGCTGAGTTGTATGCCGCCACCATGGTTGCGTAAGAGGCCCGCTGGCTCACCTTCCTTCTTGAGGAACTTGGTGCCCCCCAGCGCTGTCCTACCATCTGGTGTGACAATGCTAGTACCATTCACCTCACCAAAGATGCTGTGTTTCACGGGCGCTCCAAGCACATTGAGCTCCGTCATTTCTTCATCCGCGATCTTGTTCAGGCGGGGCACCTTCGGCTCGACAAGGTTGATTCGGCGGCCAACCTTGCCGACATCTTCACAAAAGCTCTTCCTCATGCCGCTCACTCTTCCCTACTTCGTCTTCTTGGCCTCACTCCTCCTAAGTCGCCTCCCGCCTCTTGATTCTAGCCTTCTAGCCTTATGCATGTTGGGGGGTTGTGTTGTAATTTCATATTTCATACAACATACATAGGCTAGAATTAGATCTGTAGCACACTTATAAATTGGGGGGTTGGTTAGTGTACCCTCCAACCACATTTTGTGGTTGGTTGGGATTGGTCCTTAGCTCAACCAATCCCGCCAACACACATTTGTGGTTGCTTGGGTCACAAGCAAGCTCACCCATTGGCCAACTTATTGGCCAATAGGGTAAGCTTCCCTTTCATCTCTCTCTTGCTCATTGTTTGTACTAAAGGGCCTCTTGGCTCATTACTCAATACATCAATTCTAGCTTTTCAACAAATGGCTTCTTCTGCAACAACGTAGAGGAACCTGAGTCGGACTCCGATGCCGAACCAGATGATCCCACCGCAGCTGATGACTAGAGTAGACGTAAGGAAAACGATGTAGCTTGTATTAGAGGCTCGTAGGTAGATATACCGGTAGTATTATTTGCAAGTAACCTTAGATAAAGGTTGGAATTGTTTTTGTGAGCGAATGACTCGTTGTGTAGATAAAAAATCTTATTATATGAAAAAGACTTAAAAATAGGGTGGCGATTATATTGTGTAAGGCACAAGCATGCGGCTATAATCCGTAAGCCTATAAGTATGCGCTTATAATCGAGGAGCGGATATGAGCGCCATATGCCAATTATAAGCGCCAGGGAAATACCGTCACCCCCCGGATATAAGCGCCACCCTAGGATATCTTTTTCCTGCTGCACCTCCCCCTCCACCGCCTCACTCGCCCACCCCTGCTGTGGCATTGCTCACTTACGCTCACACATGCAGAGGCGGCAGCACTGAAGCCTAAGCACGCTTGAGAGTGACTACAGGGAAGAAAGGATGTGCGGCGAACTCAAAAGACGCCTTGAGCACCGACCCTTCCCCCGCCCTGTGAGCCACAAAGAGCGCCGTGGCGTTGCTGGCACACACACGCTCCAGCTGCTGCACCTCCCCCTCCACTGCCTCACTCGCTCCCGCCGTGCCTCCAGGCGCGGCTGTGGCTGCGAGTGCATGGATGGTGGGCAGGTTGGTGGCGGTGGTGCGGAAGAAGTCGAGCGACATCTGGTAGAGCTCTGGTACCTGCAGGGGTGGGGGAGAGAGTAGAGGGCAAGGGGCAGGTCGTCAGTTGTAAGAAAATGGGTCCAGCGGAAGAGGTCGAGCGACATCTGGTAGAGCTCTGGAACCTGTATGGACGGGAGGGCAGGTGGGTGGCAGTGGGGAGAGAATGGAGTGAATGGTGGGCAGGTTGGTGACGGTGGTGCGGACGAAACCAAGCAGCATTTGGTCGAGCTCTGGTACCTGTTAGGGTGGGAAGGAGAGAGGGATGGGGAGGGGTATAGGGCGTGCAGCAAGCAGGAGTGACAACAGAATCACTGGTGTTGATTGGTGTTGCTTTTTAGAATTCTCAAAAGTAACACCGATGCAGTGACAACAAAGTCACTGGTGTTGAATGCATGGTTGTGTGGAACAGCAGCAAGCAGCAGCGGGTGGTGAAAGGAAACCAGCATGCTGTGAGGTCCATGAAAGGTGCTCTGCGCAGCTTGAAGGTGGGGAGTGGAGAGTGAAAGGTGCAGAGTGAACGCAAGAAACGAGTGAGAGGAGGCCGGGGAGAGACCAAATTAGGAGCGCAGGTGCGGGAATGGGGAGGGCAGGTGGGCACATGGGGCATGGAGGGGGCACGGGGAGGGCAAAGAGGATAGGAACGCATAGAGAGGTCAGCAGGGGAGACGGAGAGGTGAGGCATGGGTGGGCAACATGGGAAGGCCAACAGGGAGGATGGAGAGGGGGAGAGGGGGAGAGAGGGAGAGGGGGAGAGGGGGAGAGAGGGAGAGGGGGAGAGGGGGAGAGGGGGAGAGGGGGAGAGGGGGAGAGGGGGAGAGAGGGAGAGGGAGAGAGGGGGAGAGGGGGAGAGGGCAGTAGGGGTAAGGAGGATGCACGGAGAGGCCGGCCGGGGAGACGGCACGTTGGAAGGCGGCGTAGGAGAGCGGCTCGGGCAGCTGCACCCTCTTGAGCACCGCATAGCGCTGCTGGTAGCGCTGGTGGGCGGGCGTACAAGGAGGGGTGTGAGGGGGAGGGGCGCTGGGGTGTTTGTGGGAGGTGAAGGGGAAACAACAGGCAAGAGATGGCAGGTGCACCCTCTTAAGCACTGCATAGCGCTTCTTGTAGTGCTGGTGGGCGGGCGCAGGGGAGGTCACTGAGGAGGGAGCGCAGGTGGGTTGTGGAAGATGAAGGGGAATGAGAGGGAGGATTGTTGATGGAATTGTTGAGGGGTGTGAGATAATGGAGTGCAGATACGGCAGTGTGGCAGTGGGGGGAATGTCCTGCCTATCCACCATCCACCATCCACCATCCACCATCCACCATCCACAATCCACCATCCACCATCCACAATCCACCATCCACCATCCACCATCCACCATCAACCATCCACAATCCACAATCCACCATCCACCATCCACCATCCACAATCCACCAGCCACCATCCACAATCCACCATCCACCATCCACCATCCACTGTTAGAGCGTCTCTGCACCCCCCAGTGCAGGCCTCCACCCACCCCCTACTGCGTGTACCCAGCATCACATTGGCCAGCCAGCCAGTAGAACTGACACGAGCTAGGGGAATGAACTGGCGCGCGCTGTAGCCAAGCTAGGGGCGCACAGCACACCCCTCATGCACCTCCCGCTTGAAGCATCCATGCGCGTCCGTGACGACACACCTGGCGGTCGGAGTTGAAGACACACCTGACGGTCGGAGTTGAAGGGAGAGGGGTGGTGCGGCAGCTTGCTGTCTAAGACGAACGCAGCCAGTAGCTGTGGGGGCGGTGAGATGAGTAGGGAGAGGGGTGGAGGAGCGGGGCGATGGGGAATGGGGAGCGAGTGGGGGGGGGATTGGGGAGATTCAAGAGGGTGAGTGGGCAATGGGAAGAGTTGAAGAGCAGCAAGGTGATGGAGGAGGGTGGGAGGAAGGGCAGAGGCCGGGGGCGAGACAGCACACATGCATTTCAATCGCCTCATGGCGTTACATGCCCACACACCCCTCTCACCCGCTCACATGCCACACTCACCTGCACGTAGGCCTTGCATAGCAGCTGGTAGGCAGAGAGCAGCGCCAGATCCAGGGAAGGCGATGGGCGCAGGTGCACAGCACAGCACACATGTGACATGCGTTCTCACTGCCTCACGCCCTTAACTGCCCACATACCCCACTCATCGGCACATAGGCCTTGCACCCCGCTCACCCGTACGTAGGCCTTGCATAGCAGCTGGTAGGCGGTTATCAGCGCCAGATCCAGTGAGGGTGGTGGGGGCGAGGGAGGTGGGGCTACTGCTGGTTTGCGACGGGCCTTGCGGGAGGAAGGGGCTGCGACAGGGTGAGGTGAGGGGCATGGGGATGGGCACGAGCGGCATGGTAGTGGGGGCGAGGGGCATGACATGGGGATGGGGAGGAGACGGTCAGCACCAGTTGTGACTTGAGCACACAGCATAAGTTTGGGTGACTAGTTTAAGCAGCAGTAGAAGTGTCGTGACAGGAGGGGGTATGGCACATGCAAAGGACAAAGGTTGGAGGGAGGGAGGCACACCTGAGAAAGGTTTCTGCAGGGAAGCTTCCCGGGCAGAGACGTTGTGGATGAGCGTGGCCAGCACACTGTCGAGGTACCTGCTCATGCATGCATGGATGGCGAGGTGAGGGGATGCAGGAGGATGTTAAAATATATATTGTGTAGCATGCCAACACATGTGACTGTACACCAATTGTGGTGTACAGTTGGGTTGGGACTACACCCAACTTTGGGTGTAGTCTTGCACTTTGGGGTGCCAATCCACCCAATTGTGGTGGAGCCCCCAAATGCAACCCTCTTGACTTGTGGGTACCTCACTTCCCACAATTGAGGTTACCCCAAGCCAAGTGGGCCTAGGGTTGCCTCACTTCTACAAAGTGTGGGCAACCCAACCCACTTGACCTATGGTTCCCTCACTTCCCCAAGTGAGGTCAACCCAACCTATGGTCACTTTCATCCTTCCCTTCCAACCTTCCCTTCCAACTATGTATGCTAGGTTGTTCCTCTAATCTGATCACTTGTTCAATTTGCTACTTTCACATGGTATAGAGCTACTTGTTCCTAGGCCTTACCTCTCCCTCCCTTCAGTTTTTTTTTTCCCATGCGGCCCACCCCACAGCTACAAACCCTTTCCTACGCGTGGCTCAACTAGCCATCACTAGCATACTCTCGCCGCGACCTACGCCGTCGCCGCCGTTCCCCCCCCCTCCCGCCGCGATTACGCCTTCCTCGCCTGCGGATTCCACCGCCGCGAGCGCAACGCCGCTGTCCCCTCCTCCCCCCCGCCGCGACCCCCTGTCGCCGCCTCCCCTTCTCGCCGCCGCGCCTGATTCGGCGCCGCCTGCGCATCCTGCCGCCGCGACGCCTCGTCGCCGCCTGCCCGCTGCCCGTCCCTCCGCCGCGACGTCACGTCGCCGCCTCCCCTTCCCGCCGCCGCGCCTGCTACGGCGCCGCCTGCGCATCCTGCCGCCGCGACGCCTCGTCGCCGCCTGCCCGTCCCTCCGCCGCGACGTCTCGTCGCCGCGTTCCCGCCGCCGCGCCTGCTTCGGCGCCGCCTGCGCATCCTGCCGCCGCGACGCCTCGTCGCCGCCTGCCCGTCCCTCCGCCGCGACGTCTCGTCGCCGCGTTCCCGCCGCCGCGCCTGCTACGGCGCCGCCTGCGCATCCTGCCACCGCGACACCTCGTCGCCGCCTGCCCGTCCCTCCGCCGCGACGTCTCGTCGCCGCGTTCCCGCCGCCGCGCCTGCTTCGGCGCCGCCTGCGCATCCCGCCGCCGCGACGCCTCGTCGCCGCCTGCCCGTCCCTCCGTCGCGACGTCACGTCGCCGCCTCCCCTTCCCGCCGCCGCGCCTGCTTCGGCGCCGTCTGCCCGTCCCGCCGCCGCGACAGCTCGTCGCCCCCTGCCCGTCCCGCCGCCGCGACCTAACATCGCCGCCTGCGCATTCCGCCGCCGCGACTGCTCGTCGTCACCTCCCCGCCCCCACCCCCCCCCCCCCCCCCCCCCCCCCCCCCGCCGCGATTTCGCATTGCCGCCTCCCCTCCCACCGCCGCACCTGCTTCCGCGTCACCCACGCATCTTGCTGCCCCTTCTGCATCGCCACCCTCCCGCAATTTCCCCCGCCGCAACTGCAACATCGTCGCCCCGCGGTTCCCGTTAACGCCACTGCGCCGCCGCCGCCCTACCGCCGCGACTGCTTCGGCGCCGCCTGCCCATCCTCCACCGCGACCGCGCCATCCCCGCCCACACTTCCTGCCGCCGTGACTGCCCCGTCACCGCCTGCAGATTCAGCCGCAACTGCACCCTCCCTTCCTCCTCTCCCTACTCCTCTCCCCCCCCCTCCCCCTCCCCCTGCGCCCCTCGTTGCCGCGGCCTGCCTGCCGCCGCCGTCCCTCGTTTTGCCGCCGCGGCCCTTCCGCCGTCGCCTGCGCCCCTCGTCGTCGCGGCCTGCTCGCCGCCGCCGCCCCCGACTTTGCCACCGCCTCCCCTTCCCGCCGCCGCACGTTCGCACAGCCGCCTGCGCCCTTGTCACCGTCGCTCCCTGCACCTTGAACGCCTCTGCCCTCCACCGCTGTCTCCCTCCTTTACCCCCCCCCCCCCCCCCCCCTCCCTCCTCCTGCCAACGGCAGCAGCAGCGGCAGCAGGGGAAGTGCAGCAGCCTCCGCAGCAGCAACTTCACCCTTGGCCGCCGCGGGTCCACCCGCCGTCGCCCATCATGACTGCTACCCCCCCTGCCCCTCTCCCCCCTCCTCACTGGAGCAGTGTTACTCCTCGCCCCTCCCTTCTCAACACTCCGACCCTCCACTCCTCCCCCCCCCTTATCTCCGCCTGCTCACCCCCTCCCCCCCTCCCCATCTGCGGCGTTTCCAGCAGCTCCAGCATCAGCAGCAGCAGGACTTCCAGCAGCGGCAGCAACCACAATTTCTCCAGCCGCACCCCCCACATCTCCTCCAGCCGCGGCAATCGCAGCAGCAGCAGTTCTTCCAACACCAACAGCAGCCGCAATCTCTCCAGCCTCACCCGCCACAGTTTCTCCATCCCCAGCAGCAGCAGTCCTTCCAGCCGCAGCAGCGGCAGTCCTTCCAGCAGCAGCAGCTGCCACAGTTCCTTCCACCGCAGCAGCAGCAGTCCTTCCTGCAGCAGCAGCAGCCACAGTCTCTTCAGCCGCAGCAGCAGCAGTGCTTCCAGCAGCAGCAGCTGCCACAGTTCCTTCCGCCGCAGCAGCAGCAGTCCTTCCAGCAGCAGCGGCAGCCACAGTTTCTTCAGCCGCAGCAGCAGCAGTGCTTCCAGCAGCAGCACCAGCCACAGTTCTCTCCATCCGCAGCAGCAGCAGTGCTTCCAGCAGCAGCAGCCACCACAATCTCTCCAGCCGCAGCAACCGCGGCAGCATCGGCGGTGCTTCCAGCAGCAGCAGCAGCCCAATCTCTCCAGCCGCAACCGTCACAGTCTCTCCCACCGCAGCAGCCGCAGCAGCAACAGTACTTACAGCAGCAGCACCCGCCGCTCTCTCCCTCTTCTATCCATGAAACAACTCTCCAGTACTCTGTGTTCCCTCCCTCTCCTTCCCCCCCCACCCTGGACTTTGTCCTTGACAGTGGGGCCACCGAAACCGCACTAAAAGACGCTGGCACCCTCACCCCCCTTCCACTTCCCACCCAGGTTCATGGTGCCGACTCCAGCTTTTCCATCCCCTGCACTCACCTCTCCACCCTTCCTTGCACCGCCTTCCCATCCGGTACAGTCACCGGTCTCCACATCCCTACCCTTCGCAATAACCTCCTCTCCCACCGTGAACTCCAAGGCGTTGGCATTACCGCCATATACCCTGGCTTTGCTTCCTACTGCGATCTCTACCACACCGCCTCTGGTCGTTTCCTCCTGCGCATTCCCCTTTGCCCTCGCACTCGCCTTTACACGCTCCGCACACCCCGTCCCTCCTTTTGTCACGTCACCACTCGTGCTGGTACTTCCACCGGTCCCCTTCTCCCTCCCCCTCACCCTCCCCCTCCCCCTCCTCCGATATCCTCCTCCTCTACTCCATCCGCCTCCTCCTCCCCCCCCAACTTTTCCCCCACCCCATCCCCCTCCTCCTCTACTGCCCTCTCCCATCCTGCAGTGCTCCTACATCACAGACTCGGCCATCCCAACTTCGCCGCACTTCGCTCCACCGTCACCTCTCGCCTCCTTAACAGCCTTCCTCCCACCTTACCTCCCCTCCCCTCCTCCCCTGCTCCCCCATGCCCATCATGCATTCATGGCAAGCTCAAACAGTCCCCCCATCACAGTCATCCCACCTTCGCTCCCGCCCCCATTGACCTTGTTCACATGGATCTTTGGGGCCCTTATCCCATCCGCTCCCGTCAGGGGCACAGGTACATGCTCGTGCTCGTCGACGACCACAGTCGGTACTCCACCGTCTTCTTTCTTCACACGAAAGACCAGGTGCCGGCTGTGGTCATCAACTGGGCTGAGCAGTGCCGCAACCACTTCAAACGTCCCATAGGCCGCCTTCACTCTGACGGTGGGGGTGAGTTCATCAATCATACTCTCTCCACTTACTGCAAAACATACGGCATTCAGCAGACCACCACCCTTCCCCACTCCCCTCAGCAAAACGGCATCGCTGAGAGTCGCATCCGTGAGATCACCAAGATTGCGCGCTGCCTCATTGCTCACGCCTCCACCCCTCCCTCCCTCTGGAGCTATGCCCTCATTCATGCCGCCCTCCTCCTCAATCTCCGCTCCCACCCTCAGCATCCCTCCTCCTCCCCCACAGAACTCTGGTCCAAGGCCAAGCCTGACGCCGCAGGCCTTCGTGTTTGGGGCTGCAAGGCGTTCGTCCTCATTCCACCGGCCGACCGCTCCCGCGCTGCTGGCAAGCTCGCTCCTCGCGCTCTGGAGTGCGTCTACCTTGGGCACAATCGTGATTCCCCAGGCTACCTATTCCTCCACCCTCCCACCAATCGCCTCATCCGCAGCATTGACGTCGTCTTCGACGAGTCCACTCCCTACTACTCCACCCCTCCTCCTGACCCCCTCCCTCCTCCCACTCGCCCCCTCGCTTGGACCGACACCATCCTCCCGCCTCTTATCCCTCCAGCGCCTCTCCTCCCACCTGTCGCCGCCCCACTCCCGCCTTCCTCCTCTGCCGACGTCTACGACCCTGCCGCACCCGCCTCCCCCGCTCACTCAGCTGCACCCCCTCCCCCCTCTCCCTCCTCCTCTCATTCTCCTCCTTTCCAGCAGCCGGATCAGCAACAGCAGGGGCAGCAGCAGCAGCAGCAGCCGGATCAGCAACAGCAGGGGCAGCAGCAGCACCAGCAGCAGCAGCAGCAGCAGCAGCGGGAGCAACACCAGCAACGGCAGCAGGGGCAGCAGCAGCAGCAGCCGGGGCAGCAGCAGCAGCAGCAGCAGCAGCAGCAGCAGCAGCCGGAGCAGCAGCAGCAGCAGCAGCAGCCGGGGCAGCCGCATCAGCAGCAGCCGGGACAGCAGCAGCAGCAGCAGCATCAGCAGCAGCAGCACCAGCAGCAGCAGCGGCGCCGTGCCACTTCCCGCTCCTCCCCCTTCCTCCTCCCTTACATCCATACCCGCTCGGTGGACAAAATCCTTGGGGCTCCTCCTCCTGCCTCCATTCAGCTCCTTGAGGACTCCCATGAGGAGTTCCTCAACATTCGGGAGCACACTCCATTCCTTGCCGCCCTCTACCTTGACTTCCTGGGCTTTCCTGTCCTTGGCGCCACTACTACCCCCACCATCTTCACTCCCTCCACCTTCCAGGAAGCCATCACCTGCCCTGATGCGGATAAATGGATAGCAGCGATCTTCCTGGAGTGTGAGGCTTTCATTCGCAACGACTCCTTTGTCGATGTCCCCCTCCCTGCTGGCGCTAATCTCGTTGACGGCAAATGGGTCTTTCGGGTGAAGCAGCTGCCGGGCGAGGAACCAGTGTACAAGGCCCGCTACTGCGCCAAGGGGTTCACGCAGACTTGGGCTGAGGACTACTGGTTCACCTACGCCCCCACCGCCAAACCACCCACCCTTCGCGCCGCCATGGACATTGGTGCACGTGACGACATGGAAATCGACTCCATGGACGTCTCCAATGCGTTCCTGCAGGGCGACCTGCATGAGCGCATTTTCCTCCGGCGACCCCCCGGGTTCCACGCAGCCTTTCCTGAGAACACTGTCTGGCAGCTGCGTCGCCCCGTCTACGGCTTGAAGCAGGCACCGCGTGAGTGGCATGCGAAGCTGGCTGCCACCTTGGGGTCCCTCGGCTTCTCTGCTTCCCACTCCGACGCCAGCCTCTTCATCCGCTCCTCCCCCCGCCGCTTCTTCATTCTGGTATATGTCGACGACATGATCCTGCTCTCTGACACCAAGGCCGACATGGAGCAGGTGAAGCTGTCCCTGCAGCAGCGGCTCAAGTGCAAGGACCTTGGCGCCCTCACTCACTACCTCGGCATGACCATCACGCGCAACCGCCCTGCTCGCACAATCACCCTCTCCCACTCCCATTACATCGGCCAGGTCTTGGAGAAGTTCGACATGGCGCAAGCCAAGCCTGTTTCCACCCCGCTCCCCTTCGGTCACCAACTCGCTCCACCCACCTCCCCCACCTCCTCCCCCCACCCCTATGCCGAGCTCGTTGGGTCCTTGATGTACGCAATGATGTGCACCCGCCCCGACCTCGCCTACCCCATCAGCGTGCTCGCTCGCTTTGTCGGCACCGGTCGTCACTCTGAGGAGCACTGGAAAGCTGCCAAGCGGGTCCTCCGCTACCTTCGCGGGACCAGGGACCTTGCCCTCACCCTCGGCGGCCCTTCCCGTCCCCTTCTCTCGGGCTTCAGTGACTCCTCATGGGCTGACACGCAGCCGGACCGCCGCTCCTCCCAGGGCTACGGCTTCACCCTTGGCAGCGGCCTTATCAGCTGGCGCTCCACCCGCTCCTCCGCCATCTCTCTCTCCACCTGCGAAGCCGAGCTCTACGCTGGCACCATGGCCGCCCAGGAGTCGCGCTGGCTCTGCTTCCTTCTTGCGGAGCTGGGCGCCCCCCAGACGTGCCCCACTCTCTGGTGCGACAACGCCAGCACCATCCATCTCACTCAGGACCCCGTCTATCACGCCCGCTCCAAGCACATCGAACTCCGCTACTTCTTCGTTCGGGAGCTCGTCCAGAAGGGCCTCATTGCCGTTCGCAAGATTGCAACCGAGGCCAACTTGGCCGACATCTTCACTAAGGCCCTCCTTCGCCCCGCGCACTCTGCCTTCCTCCGCCTCATTAGCCTTGCTCGCCCGGGCGCCCCTTGATTCAGGGGTTGTTCTCTTCTTGTGTTAGCATGCTAAGGGGTTGTGTTAAAATATATATTGTGTAGCATGCCAACACATGTGACTGTACACCAATTGTGGTGTACAGTTGGGATGGGACTACACCCAACTTTGGGTGTAGTCTTGCACTTTGGGGTGCCAATCCACCCAATTGTGGTGGAGCCCCCAAATGCAACCCTCTTGACTTGTGGGTACCTCACTTCCCACAATTGAGGTTACCCCAAGCCAAGTGGGCCTAGGGTTGCCTCACTTCTACAAAGTGTGGGCAACCCAACCCACTTGACCTATGGTTCCCTCACTTCCCCAAGTGAGGTCAACCCAACCTATGGTCACTTTCATCCTTCCCTTCCAACCTTCCCTTCCAACTATGTATGCTGGGTTGTTCCTCTAATCTGATCACTTGTTCAATTTGCTACTTTCACAGAGGATGGAGAGATGGTGCTATGTGAAGGTGTCAAGTGAAGGCATGGGATGAATGAGTTTTTGGGAAGAGACGTTGTGGATGAGCGTGGCCAGCACACTGTCCAGGTACCTGCTCATGCATGCATGGATGGTGGGTAGTGCAGCTGTTAATACGATTATACGAGTACGTGTGCCGTGTCCCATGCTCCATGTACACATTATTGTTGTGAATGAGCTTCCTGGGCAGAGACGTTGCGGATGAGCGTGGCCAGCACACTGTCCAGGTACCTGCTCATGCATGCATGGTGAGGTGGTGCAGGAGGATGGAGAGATGGTACTACGTGAAGGTGTTATGTGAAGGCATGGGTGGGATGAACGAGCTTCCGGGGCAGAGACGTTATGGATGAGTGTGGCCAGCGCACTGTCCAAGTACCTGCATGCATGTCAAGATGGAGTTATCTGAGAGGTGGTGAAGGCGGATAGAGAGGTGAGGTAGTGTTTTGCAAGGTGTTACACAAAGGTGTTAAAGGGAGGGTGCACATTCATCTTGGTTGGGCCTCGGTTCAACTCTTGCTCAACCCCTTTGCCAGCGCGAAGGTGTTGGTGCACACTTCGCGCAGACAATTTCGATTTTGTAAACCTGCCCGATTTTCGCCAAAAACTGCCACGTTGAATGTGCACTCTGGTTTTGAGGTGTTATGTAAAGGTGTTATGATGTAAAGGTGTTACGTGAAGAATTTATGCGAAGGTGGTATGTGCCGGTGTTATGTGAAGGTGTATCACGAATGCCAATGAAATATGACATTTGGCAGCCATGTGCCATGTGCCATATGCCATGATGTGGCATGTGTCAAGGACATGGATGGATACATGCAATGCGCACACAGACATGTACAGCCACACATGCAGCCATGTACACACATTCTTGCACACAACCATGCGTGCACTCATCCACCCATACGACCACCCCTCCACTCCACACCATGCAACTATGCATACAGGCTCATTCACGGCGACAAACATGTCAAGGCTGTTAGCGACCAGCAGCAGCAGCCACATAGTGCAGGGTAGCAACAAGCAGGTGACTTGCACGTGGGAGATGCATGACATGGCATGACATGGTGTGTGGGTGGGACGCACCAGAAGGCAGAGAGGAGCTCAGAGGGGGCAAAGAGGCGCGTGGAGGAGGCAAGGGGTGTAAGAGGGACGGCATGTGGGAGGTGTGTTGTGGCATCACATGTGGTGTGATGAGGCAGGCAGGAGGACTGACCAGAAGGCGGAAAGGAACTCAGAGGGGGCATAGAGGCGCGTGGAGAAGCCAAGCTGCAGATAGCGAATGACGATGCGACACGTGTACTCCACCACCCAGCTCGTTGCCACACTCTCCCTCCACCACCCCTGTTGGCAGCGTGGTGTTGAGAGGGAGGGAGGAAGAGAGGAAAGGAGGAAGGGAGGAAGGGTGTGCACAGGGAGGGCAAGGAAAAGGATGAATGGTGGGTGGGTGTGCGCCATACGCGCCCACAACACGTGTCCTCCACCACCCAGCTGGTTGCCACACTCTCCCTCCACCACCCCTGTTGGCAGGCCGGCATTGAGAGGAAGGGAGGAAGGGTGCGCACAGGGAGAGGAAGGAAAAGGATGAATGGTGGGTGGGTGTGCGCCATACGCGCCCACAACACGTGTCCTCCACCACCCAGCTGGTTGCCACACTCTCCCTCCACCACCCCTGTTGGCAGGCCGGCATTGAGAGGAAGGGAGGAAGGGTGTGCACAGGGAGAGGAAGGAAAAGGATGAATGGTGGGTGGGTGTGCACCATACACGCCCGCAACACGTGTGCTACACCACCCAGCTGGTCGCCATGCCACGCTCTCCCTCCACCACCCCTGCTTGGAGCTCAGAGTTGAGAGGGAAGGAAGGGTTGGGGAAGGGGGGGAGCACACGCCAAGGGGAAGGAAAAGGATGAATGGTGTGCGGTGCGGCATACATGGCCTGTTGTAATTTCATATTTCATACAACATACATAGGCTAGAAGTGTAGCACATTTATAAATTGGGGGGTTGCTTAGTGTACCCTCCAACCACATTTTGTGGTTGGTTGGGATTGGTCCTTAGCTCAACCAATCCCAACCAACACACATTTGTGGTTGCTTGGGTCACAAGCAAGCTCACCCATTGGCCAACTTATTGGCCAATAGGGTAAGCTTCCCTCTCATCTCTCTCTTGCTCATTGTTTGTACTAAAGAGCCTCTTGGCTCATTATTCAATGTATCAATTCTCTCTCTTCTAACATGGTATCAGAGCTAATGGCTCACGCCTACCTCCCTCGGTCCTTAGGCCACCCTCTCCTCCCCGTTCCTCAGATCTAGCCCCAGATCTGCACTCCCCGCGCTCAGATCTGCAACTCCAGCGCCCAGATCTGCACTCCCTGTGCGACCAGATCTACTCCTCCCGCGCCTAGATCTGATCATTCCGCGCCCAGATCTGGATTCCGCGCCACCAGATCTCCTCCTCCCGGGCCCAGATCTGAACATTTCGCACCCAGATCTGCACTCCGCCCGCCCAGATCCGCCCTCCGCGCGCTCAGATCTGTCCTTCGCGCAACCAGATCTGCACTCCGCGCGACCAGATCTGCCCTCCGCGCGACCAGATCTGCCCTCCGCGCGACCAGATCTGCCCTCCGCGCGACCAGATCTGCATCTCCCGCGCTGAAATCTGACCATTTCGCGCCCATCTCTGCACGTCCCGCTCGTTTGCCGCGGGCTGTCCCGCTTGCATTCGCCACGGGCTTCCCAGTCGCGCGGATCTGCCGCACGGCTGCCCTCTTCGTCCCCTCCCCCCCCCCTCTCTCCCTTCCTCCTCCCATTGTACTCGCAGCAGCATCATCAGCGGCACCTCAACGGCACCACCAGCAGCACCCTCCCCCCTTTCCTCCCCCATAGCATCGCCCTCCTCCTCCTCCACCCAACCCACCCTCCGCTCCTCCCTTCCTCCTCCCATCCTACCTGCAGCAGCACCAGCAGCAGCACCAGCAGCGGCACCACCAGCAGCACCCTTCCCCCTTGCCTCCCCCATAGCATCGCCCTCCTCCTCCACCGTCCTCCTCCTCCCATCCTACCTGCAGCAGCACCAGCAGCAGCACCTGCAGCGGCACCACCAGCAGCACCCTTCCCCCTTGCATCCCCCATAGCATCGCCCTCCTCCTCCTCCACCTTCCCCACCCTCCGCTCCTCCCTTCCTCCTCCCATCCTACCCGCAGCAGCATCCGCAGCGGCACCAGCTGCAGAACCAGCAGCGGCACGGGCAGCAGGGCCAGCAGCAGCATTGGCAACGGTACCCTCGCACCATCCTCCTCCTGCCCTAGCCTCTACCCACCCTCATCTCTATGGCATCGTCGTCCGATTCTTCCGTCGACCTTGCCACTGTTGACGCACTCGAGTTGCTGCCTGACAACTCTGCTGCTAATTGGCACTCTTATGCTCATTCCGTTGAGGTGCTCCTCTCCTCTGTTGTGGTCAGCGGCTACAACCTTCGCTCGGTTGTCTTTCAGGAAGGCGGTGGACTTCAGCCCGTGGCCCCCACCGCTCCTACTGGACCTGCCCCCGCCCACCCTGGCGCCGAACCCTCTCCCCCCGGTGATCCTCCCACCTTCGCGCCGAATGTCAACGACCCGCAGAGCTCGGAAACCGCCATTCGCACCTACCGCACCAATCTCCAAGAGCACCTGCGCCTGCAATTGCGTTACGAGGACGACAGGCGCATCTATGACGAGGCCGCTGCCCGCTACAACAAGTACCAGGAGGACCTGGACACCTACACTGCAGAACTTGCAGACTACACCACGAAAATTAATGCCTGGCGGGTTGCTGATCGGCGTGCGCTTGCCATTCTTCTCGCCACCATCCCCTCCTCCCTCAAACGCGAGCTCTCACCTACCTCCTCCTCCCACCTGTGGCGACTGCTAGTCGACCTTTTCGATCGGCAGGACGTTGCCACTCTTTACGCCCTTATCAAGGAGCTTGGAACTCTCTCCATGGATTCCACTTCTGGCGCAGCTGCTTTCACTCGCCGTGTCTTAGACCTTGCTCGGCACCTTGCAACACTCGATGTGGTGTACCCGGACACCGTCATCTGCTGCCACCTCCTCGAGGGCCTCACACCTGCCTTCGACGCTCACAAGCTTGCTTACATGCAGCTTATCTCCAAGCACCACACCCCTGCCGAAGTCGCTCAGTGGATTATCACCACCGAGGCTGAGATCCTTCAACACTCTTCCTCCACAGCTGCAGCAGCCCAGTCGCGCAGCAGCCGGGGTGGACGTGGCGGTGGGCGTGGGGGTGGGCATGGTGGTGGGCGTGGGGGTGGACGAGGGGGATCAGCAGGTCGCGGTGGTGCTGGCAGCAGTGGTGCGGGTCGTGGTACGGCAGCTGCCTTTCCTCCCTGTCAGTACCTGCCTCGCTACGGTCCCACTCAGGGACAGCGCTGCGGCCAAACCACCCATGCCACTGAGACGTGCTTCAAGGCACTCAGTGATGAGTGGTTTGCGCGTGGCAACACCGGCACCCCTCCTCGCTGGTCCGCCCTCAACCCTCGCCCCACTCCCCTTGAGGTCCGTTCCTCTCCCCTTTATGAACCTCCCTCCTCCACCCACGCCCACCAGGCCCTCGCCCCTCCCCAGCAGCAGCACCAGCAGCAGCAACAGCAGCAGCAGCTTGGGAATCAGCAGCAGGGGTCACAGCAGTATGGGCAGCAGCTTCTCCTCTCTCAGCTCCAGCAGCAGCTCCAGCATCTCCAGCAGCAGCTCGACCTCCAGCCGCAACTGCCCCTCCTCCCTCCTCCTCCGGTTTCCCAGCAGCAGCCCTTTCCTACCTGGACTGCTGGGAGTGCTGCCTCTGCAGCCCATCTCTCGGGTGCGTCCCCGGCGCCGTCTGCAGGTGGCAGTGTGACCGCTTTCCCTTCCTCTGGTTTTGTTGGTTTATTAGGTCAACCTGAATCTGTTGCATCTCCCATGTACCCTTCTTCTGCTAATGAAACTTCGTTCCAGTACTCTGCCTCACCTTCCTCCACCATTGACTTCGTTCTGGACAGTGGAGCCACTGACACTGTCCTTCGCGACGCTGGTACACTGCGCCCTCTCCCCACACCAACCTCCCTCCTCGGCGCTGATAGCAGTTTTTCCATCTCTTGTCACAACACCTCCACCCTTCCCTGTCCTCTCTTTCCCTCAGGTACTGTCACCGGTCTCCACATTCCCTCCCTTCGTACTAACCTCCTCTCCCAAAGGTCCCTCCAACAAGCCATGATCACCACTCTCATCCCAGGTGGTGCTAACCATTGTGACCTATACCAAACCTCCACAGGTCGTTTTCTCGCCCGTATTCCCTATTGTCCTCGCTCCCGTCTGTACACCCTTCGGGTTCCCCGCCCCCTCACCTTCCAAGTTGCCTCCCCCCCCCTCCTTCCCCCCCCCCCCTCCCCTCCCTCCCACTAACCCACCCCTCCCCCCCCGCCCTCCTGACTCTGACTGTTCCTGTCGCTCCCTCTCCCACCCCACCATCCTCCTCCATCACAGGCTAGGCCACCCCAACTTCGCTACTCTGCACTCCTCTGTCTCCTCCGGTCTCCTCCACGGTCTCCCTTCCTCCCTCCCTCCCCTCCCCAAATCCCCTGCCCCCCCCTGCACCGTCTGCGTTCAGAGCAAGCTCAAGCAGCAGCCGCACCGGAGCTCCCCCTCCGCTGCTGCGCAGCCTCTTGGCTCATTATTCAATGTATCAATTCTCTTCTAACATGGCCACGACATGTGCACTCCACCACTCAGCTGGTCGACATGCCACGCTCTCCCTCCACCACCCCTGCTCGGATCGGAGCTCAGCGTTGAGTAATGGGGAGTTGGGCGGAAAGGGGTAAGAGGGGAGTGGGAGAAGAGTGCACAGAGAAGGGAAGTAGGGGGTTGCCACGAAGTTACTGCATTTCCCTGTCCTTCACACACATGCCCCGCCTCACATGAATTGATGGCTGAACAACATGAGATGCTGCTCGTGAACAGTGTGTGCCACCCAAGGGCCAAGGCCCACGCATCACATGGGAAGTCAATGTGAGCGATGTTTGATCATTCTAAACAATCACCCAAGGGCCAAGACCCACGCATCACATGAAATTTCAACATACTCGGAATCTACCTGCACACATACTCATGACATCAACAGCCACACCACCTAAGAAATCACCTGGAAAATTACCTGCAAAAGCACTTGGGGAATCACCTGAGCTAAATTGGCGGTGGTGTAGCGCTCCACGGCATCACATGCGTCCACGTCACCAGCCTAAAAGGGGCGACGGGAAAGAAAGGTGTTGAGGGGAATCGCGTTGAAACACACACGAATTTCTGCACTTGCTTCCAAACACTGAAAGGCACAGCGAGACGAGAGAGGGACAACACATGCCAGCCGATTTTTGAGTCGACTCAAAAATAGGCTCATCACACAGCGAGGCGAGAGACAGCACATGGCAGCAGAGAGACTGCATAAGGGAGGGAGAAAAGGGCCTGGAAGAAGGAGGAGCAGCAGGCAGAGCGGAGGTACGGGGGGCGCACGAGCGAGAGGAGGTGGCTCCAGTCGGGCAGCAGCTTGGCCAGCATTCGCCTCTCCCTTGCTCCGTTGCTGCACTGCGCCCTCAGCACCGCCTGTACCGCCTGGTTGAGAGAGAGAGAGGGATGGGAGGCAAAATGGGAGACAGGAGGGGACGAGGGGAGCGTGGGGATAAGATGAAGATCTGGCCAGCATGCGCCTCTCCCGTGCTCCGTTGCTGCACTGCGCCCTCAGCACCACCTGCACTGCCTGGTTTGCATGCAACATGGGATGGGAGGCAAGTGAGACTGGAGGGTGGGGACAAGGTGAAGACTTGGCCAGCATGCGCCTCTCTCTCGCCCCGTTGCTGCACTGCGCCATCAGCACTGCCTGGTTGAGAGAGACACAGGGATGGCAGGAAGGCAGATGGGATGAGAGGGCAGGGGATTGGAGACTGGCGGTACAGGGAGGAGGGGAGGAGGGTGAAGATTGGCGGCAGGGAAACAAAAATGAGGTGAGTACGTACAGCAAATGATAAAGGCAGAAGCCCAAATGTGACTGCAATCCTAAACAGCAGTGCAGCAGTTGAGCAGCACAGCACGCCTACCTTAAACTCCAACCAGCACGGGCACCCTACATTCCCTTTCCGCTCATGCCTCCCCTCTCTCCGCCCGCCCGTTCTCCGACTCCGCCCTCACATCCCCCCGTCCCACTTACATGCGACGCCTTCTTGACAAATTTCCCTAAAGCCGCACTGCTGCCTCCATCCCCACCACCACCACCCCCACCACCGCCAGTACCACCTGCAGCAGCTCCAGCCGGGGGCAGCAGGGCAGGCGGCAGGTGCAGCGAGTGCATGATAACGTCTGCCTCATCCCACTTACATGCGACGCCTTCTTGACAAATTTCCCTAAAGCCGCACTGCTGCCTCCATCCCCACCACCAGCACCCCCACCACCGCCAGCACCACCTGCAGCAGCTCCAGGCGGGGGCAGCAGGGCAGGCGGCAGGTGCAGCGAATGCAGGATGACGTCTGTGGGGTCGTGGCCGAGAATGAGACCTTCTCGGAGTAGCAGCAGCTGGTGGGGGAAAGGTGGGGCAGGGGAGAGGAAGGGAGGGGAGGGGAGATGGAGACACATGGTGCAGCGAGTGCATGACGACATGTGTGGGGTCGTGGCCGAGAATTAGACCACCTCGCAGCAGCAGCAGCTGGTGGGGGGAGAGGGGAGTGGAGGGGTGGGAGGGGGGAATGGTGGGGAGGGGGAGGGGACGGGAGGAAAGGCGCAAGGTGCAGTGAGTGCTTTAGGATGGCTGTGCGGTTGTGGCCGAGAATGAGACCATCCCGGAGCAGCAGCAGCTGATGGGGGGAGTGGAAGGGGAAGGGAGGCAAGAGAACAGGAGGGGAGGGGACGCCATCGAAAGGGAGAGGAGAGTCGGAAGGTGCAGCGGGTGCAGGAGAACGTATGTCGGGTCGTGGCTGAGAATGAGACCGTCTTGGAGTAGCAGCAGATGATGGGGGAAGAAGAGGGGAGAGGGGCGGACGAGAGGTGGAGGAGGGAGAAAGGGGACTGGCGCCAGAAGGAACGCAGCGCGCCGTACAGAGCACACACACTCACCTGCACTGCACGCATACAGCCATCACACACTCATATCTGCAGTGCAGCGCGGGCGACGGGGCCGGGGTTGAGGGCGCGGAAGTGGGCAAGACACACTGCCACACACAGAGCACACACAGCCACCTGCACTGTACACATGCAACCACAAATACCTGCACATACACACATGCAGCCACCACACACATACCTGCACATACACACATGCAGCCACCACACACATACCTGCACATACACACATGCAGCCACCACACACATACCTGCACATGCACACATGCAGCCACCACACACATACCTGCACATATACACATGCAGCCACCACACACATACCTGCACATACACACATGCAGCCACCACACACATACCTGCAGTGCCGCGCGGGCGACAGGGCCCGGGTTGAGGGCGCAGAAGTGGGCGAGTTACACTGCCCCATGCAGAGCACAGCACACACATACAGCCAACGCACCTGCAGCACGACTGCACATGTGTAGCGCCAGCACCGGCAGCACCACCAGTGCCGCAAGCCATGAAACCTACCTGCAGTGCAGCGCGGGCGACGGGGCCGGGGTTGAGGGCGCGGAAGTGGGCGAGGAAGCGAGAGAGCTCCAGCAGATCAGGCGGTGAGGCGGATGGCAGATGGCAGATGAAGGCGAGGTGGGTCAATAGACGAGAGAAATGCTCCAACGCCTGGGGGAAAGACGAGGCAGAGGGGATGGCAGAACAAGATGGGTAGGGGCGGTGAGGCGGATGGCAGATGGCAGATGAAGGCGAGGTGGGTTCATAGACGAGAGAAATGCTCCAATGCCTGGGGGAAAGAAAAGGGGGAGAGGGGAAGGGGAGGGGAGGGGAGGGGAGGGGAGGGGAGGGGAGGGGAGGCAGGAGAGGAGAAATGGGGAGGAGGAATGGGCAGGAGAGGAGGGGGGCAAACGGGGTGAGTGAGCAGAATTGAGGTGGAGGAGAAGCAGGTGGGTCAGCGGATGAACCACGTGGTCTAGTGGTGGAGAGGGGGGGAGGCAGGGGTGGGGTGTGGGGCGGGTGGTGGTTTGAGAGGGGCAGAGAAGGAGATGGATGGAGGAGAAGAGAATAAGGTAGGAGGAGGAGCAGTTGGGTTGGGTTGAGAGCAATGAGTAAAAAATGAAGAGAGTTACATTTAAGAGTCATGGATAGAGAATAGGGTAAGTTACAAGAATAAACTCAGTAAGTGCAGGTGTGCTTTTGAGGCACCTCAAACTACAACTGCCTCATTTGCAGCAAACCCAGTAACCACTACCGTTACTGCCACGTCAGCAGCAGCGCTCACCTCATGCCATGTCAGCAGGTGCGTGGGACGGGGCGGCGTGGGCGGCAGCAGATGGGTGTTGATAGCGGGACACATGCCAGGCGCTGCCCTCCCTGACGCCGTCTGCTTCTCCCCACTCCCCCCCTCCGCCAGCTCCCCCTCTCCTTTCTTCCCCCCGTCTTTCCCCTCTCCTGCATCTTCCCCCTCACCCCCAGCAGGGGGGGCGGGCGGGGGAAGGGAGGTCTTGAGTTTGTGCAGCGCGGTCTGGGCGAGCTGAATCTTGAGCGCACAGGCAGGCAGGTGGGCGGGCAGGCGGGCCGTTTGTAGAGCTGAAAGCGCATCATAGAGAGCCTGAAAGAGGGATGGGTGGGGTAGGAGCAGGAGGGGCGGGAAGGGGAGAGGTAGGGGGGAGGGGTCGGAGGAGGAGACGGGTGTATAGACAGTGAGGTCTAGAGTTTGTGCGGGGCAGAGAGGGCGAGCTGTAATCTTGAGCGCGCAGGCAGGCAGGTGGGCGGGCAGGCGGGCCGTGTGCAGCGATGAGATTACAGGCGGGCCGTGTGCAGCGATGAGAGCGCATCATAGCGGGCTTGGAGGGTGGGAGGGCGGAGAGGGGGGAGGGAGGGAGGGGTGTGGAAAAGAGGGGTATCAAGGGGGAACAGGTCTTGCAAGGGTTTTGTATGGCAGAAGAGGAACCAAAAGCTGACTTTTGTGATGAACGTTACCACACCCCCATGTCCACATTACATACATCCTGGGGCATGTCTTTCCATTCCAGGTGGAGTGTGCAGGAAAACCCGACAGCAAATTGATGCTGCTAGTGAATCACACGCTAAACACATACCAGCAGGCTTGTAGGCGGCATGAGAGCAGATCAGAGCAGAGCAGAAGTAGAGAGAAGCGGAGCAGAGCATGGCAGGGAGGGAGAAGAGGGTGGTAGATACCAGATACCAGCCGGAATGTTTTGAGTGGACTCAAAAGTCACCTTGGAGAAGAGGGCGGTAGATAGTTACCAGATACCAGCCGGAATGTTTTGAGTCGACTCAAAAGTCGCCTTGGAGAAGAGGGCGGTAGATATTTACCAGATACCAGCCGGATTGTTTTGAGTCGACTCAAAAGTCACCTTGGAGAAGAGGGCGGTAGATAGTTACCAGATACCAGCCGGAATGTTTTGAGTCGACTCAAAAGTCACCTTGGAGAAGAGGGCGGTAGATAGTTACCAGATACCAGCCGGAATCTCATGCGGGCCACAAGGGCGGTGAGGAGAAGGTTTTTTTGGAAATTCAGTGTCTTTTAATAGCAACATGAAAACACCCTGCAACTACAAGAAGCGAAGCAGAGCCAGGCATGGCACGGAGGAGGGAGCGGTACGTACCAGTCGGAATTGCATGCAGGTTGACTTTTGAGTCGTCTCTTGAGTTTTGAGTCGACTCAAAAGTCAACCAGGAAGGAGCGGTAGGTACCAGTCGGAATTGCATGCGGGCCGTTAGCGCTGAGAGGAGAGCAGGGTCCAGCCCAGAGAGCACAGGGTCGCCCTCCTGCTGCTCCTTGCGCACTGATGCTGGCGCCTTCCCTGGTGGTGCATCATGGGCATGGGCATGGGTTGGAGTGATGGGTTAAGCCAGTGGCGTGCGGGCCATGAAGGCGGTGGGGAGAGCAGGGGGCAGCCCAGATAGGACAGGATCGCTCTGCTGCTTCCCTGGAGGTGCATTTGGGCACGGGCACGAGCTGGCGTGAGAGATGGAGTGAGAGATGGAGTGAGAGATGGAGTGAGAGATGGAGTGAGAGATGGAGTGAGAGATGGAGTGAGAGATGGCGTGAGAGAGCAGGCAATTGGCATGCGGGCCATGAGAGCGGTGAGGAGAGCAGCTGCTGCTGCATGCAGCACAGGCAGGGCAGGACAGGGCAGGACAGGGCAGGACAGGACAGGGCAGGGCAGGACAGGGCAGGACAGGGCAGGGCAGGACAGGGCAGGGCAGGGCAGGGCAGGGCAGGGCAGGACAGGGCAGGACAGGGCAGGACAGGACAGGGCAGGACAGGGCAGGGCAGGGCAGGACAGGACAGGGCAGGACAGGGCAGGACAGGGCAGGACAGGGCAGGACAGGGCAGGACAGGACAGGGCAGGACAGGGCAGGGCAGGGCAGGGCAGGGCAGGACAGGGCAGGGCAGGGCAGGACAGGGCAGGACAGGGCAGGACAGGACAGGGCAGGACAGGGCAGGACAGGGCAGGACAGGACAGGGCAGGACAGGGCAGGGCAGGGCAGGGCAGGGCAGGACAGGGCAGGACAGGGCAGGACAGGGCAGGACAGGGCAGGACAGGGCAGGACAAGTCAGGATAGGGCAGGACAGGGCAGGGCAGGACAGGGCAGGGCAGGGCAGGGCAGGGCAGGGCAGGACAGGGCAGGACAGGGCAGGACAGGGCAGGACAGGGCAGGACAGGGCAGGGCAGGGCAGGACAGGGCAGGACAGGGCAGGACAGGACAGGGCAGGACAGGGCAGGGCAGGGCAGGACAGGACAGGGCAGGACAGGGCAGGACAGGGCAGGACAGGGCAGGACAGGGCAGGGCAGGGCAGGGCAGGGCAGGACAGGGCAGGACAGGACAGGGCAGGACAGGGCAGGGCAGGGCAGGGCAGGGCAGGGCAGGGCAGGGCAGGACAGGGCAGGGCAGGGCAGGGCAGGACAGGGCAGGACAGGGCAGGGCAGGACAGGGCAGGACAGGGCAGGACAGGGCAGGACAGGACAGGACAGGGCAGGACAGGGCAGGACAGGGCAGTACAGGGCAGGACAGGACAGGGCAGGACAGGGCAGGACAGGGCAGGACAGGGCAGGACAGCTCAGGACAGGGCAGGACAGGGCAAGACAGGACAGGGCAGGACAGGGCAGGACAGGGCAGGGCAGGGCAGGACAGGGCAGGACAGGGCAGGGCAGGGCAGGACAGGGCAGGACAGGGCAGGACAGGGCAGGACAGGGCAGGACAGGGCAGGACAGGGCAGGGCAGGGCAGGACAGGGCAGGACAGGGCAGGACAGGACAGGGCAGGACAGGGCAGGACAGGGCAGGACAGGGCAGGACAGGGCAGGGCAGGGCAGGGCAGGACAGGGAGGCGCGAGCGTTACCAAGCAAGAACAGCGCACTGATAGCTGACGCTTTTGAGGAGCTGGTGCTCACCAGGTATGGGGCATGCGGGGAGGTACTCACTGATCAAGGGACGGAATTTCAAGGGAGCTTCGACGAGCTGCTGGAAGAGATGGGTATCACGCACAGGGTCACCTCTAGGTACCATCCTCAATCAGACGGACTGACCGAGAGGCTCATACAGACCTTGAAGAAAGGACTACGGGCCTACAGTGAGTCCCACAAAAGGAGTTGGGACCGAGATCTCTGGTGGGTGCTGGCGGGGTACAGGTTCGCAAAGCAGGCGGCTCTGAGAAACCTATCCCCATACCACTTACTGTTCGGGCGGGATCCTGTGCTGCCGGTCGATGCTCCGAAGCTGCTTTCTGCGGTTATAGAGGCAGATGAGCCAAACCTGTGGGCGGAGTTGGCACAGAGGAGAGCAAAGTATTTGAAGGAGCTGACTCTGGCAGCTCTGGATAACCTCCATGTGGCGCAGCTGCGTGACGCAAGACGATACCAGCAGCGTAAAGCATCAGGGATAGGGGGAAAGGGTGACAAGGTGGAGGCAGGGCAGGAGGTATACCTTCGCAAAGCTAAGCGCGACACGCTGGACTTAGCGGTGGGATCGGAGCGTTGGAAGGTGAAAGAGATACGAGGCTCGGGAGTGTTAGTGCTGGAAGATATTCGAGGGGGAATCATCAAGGAACACATCACCAACGTGGCCAGGGCGGGACAAGGGAAGCCTCAGGCAGTGGGTCCCGTGACTCGAGCGGCAAAGATGGGCGCTGAGACACGGGAGGGGGCAGGGAAGCCTGAGGTACCAGGAGGAGTGCAGGACAGAGTGATTACATACGCCAGGAGGAAGAAGGGATGAACCTGATCAGCAGTACGGGTGGCAGGGAAGGAAGGAGAGAAGGAGAAGTCAGCAGGTTACACAGGGGAGAAAGGGAATGAGGGTGGACAGAGGAAGATTCACGACATCTGTCGCGTTATTAACACTTAGCTGGCAACTAAGTGTGAATACCACAGCAGCCAAGGTGAGGGTGTACTATAGTTTACCGCTTTTGTACTCTAATTTCATTTGTGTGCTTGGAGTGTATTGTACTGTACTGCAGAGCCGAGTAGCTGGGGAATTTGAGGTGGTTAGTGGGAGGCGAATTCAAGGAGGTTGGTGGAGACGAATTCAATTCCAGCGTGTGAATTCAATTTCGAAGTCACAAGGCTGGAAGGCGAATTCAATGCCAGCCTGGGAATTGAATTCGAAGTCACCAGGCTGGAAGGCAGTGCATGCCTAGTGGGCCCAGTGGGAACACAGCTAGCACCTTGGAGACCTCGCGAGCAGCCCGGCTGACTCGCTTGGTGCACAGGAGCTTGCTTGTGGAGGAAGCAACCTAGGCAGGGGGTGGGAATAGATGTAGGCAGGAGTAGCACTCGGGCTTCTTGCTTTTTGCTTGTATGTTTCTCATTTACTGCAATTTGTTTTCCTAATCCAGAGGGAACTAGCAGTAGGAGAAGCTATAAGCAATTTGACGGAGCCCCTGAGGGGGAGTGTTACGCTTGCTACGGGAAGCCTGAGGTACCAGGAGGAGTGCAGGACAGAGTGATTACATACGCCAGGAGGAAGAAGGGATGAACCTGATCAGCAGTACGGGTGGCAGGGAAGGAAGGAGAGAAGGAGAAGTCAGCAGGTTACACAGGGGAGAAAGGGAATGAGGGTGGACAGAGGAAGATTCACGACACAGGGCAGGACAGGGCAGGACAGGACAGGGCAGGACAGGGCAGGGCAGGGCAGGGCAGGGCAGGACAGGGCAGGACAGGGCAGGACAGGACAGGGCAGGGCAGGGCAGGGCAGGGCAGGGCAGGACAGGGCAGGACAGGGCAGGACAGGGCAGGACAGGGCAGGACAGGGCAGGACAGGGCAGGACAGGGCAGGACAGGGCAGGACATGGCAGGGCAGGACAGGGCAGGACAGGGCAGGACAGGACAGGGCAGGACAGGGCAGGACAGGGCAGGACAGGGCAGGACAGGACAGGGCAGGACAGGGCAGGGCAGGGCAGGGCAGGGCAGGACAGGGCAGGACAGGGCAGGGCAGGGCAGGACAGGGCAGGGCAGGGCAGGGCAGGACAGGGCAGGGCAGGGCAGGGCAGGACAGGGCAGGGCAGGGCAGGGCAGGGCAGGGCAGGGCAGGGCAGGGCAGGGCAGGGCAGGACAGGGCAGGGCAGGGCAGGGCAGGGCAGGGCAGGGCAGGGCAGGGCAGGGCAGGACAGGGCAGGGCAGGGCAGGGCAGGGCAGGGTCGCTCTGGTGCTGCTCGCGCCCTGCCTTTGCCTCTTTGCCTGGTGTGCATGGATGTGTGGGGCGTCTGGTGTGGGGGTGTGGGGTGGATGGCATGGGAGAAGGCTTTTGAGTCGACTCAAAAGCGCTCTGGTGCTGCTCGCGCCCTGCCTTTGCCTCTTTGCCTGGTGTGCATGGATGTGTGGGGTGTGAGGGGTGTGTGGGGGTGGGGGGTGTGGAATGGATGAGGGGTGCGTGGGATGGAGGGCATGGGGGCAGGCGAGGGCATGGGAGCAGACGGAGGGGGCAGGGGAAGGGCATGGGGAAAGGGGGAGGGCATGGGGAAAGGGGGAGGGCATGGGGAAAGGGGGAGGGCATTGGGAAAGGGGGAGGGCATGGGGACAGGCGAGGGCATGGGGGAAGGGGGAGGGCATGGGGGCAGGCGGAGGGCATGGGGGAAGGGGGAGGGCATGCGGGAAGGGGGAGGGCATGGGGGAAGGGGGAGGGCATGGGGGAAGGGGGAGGGCATGGGGGAAGGGGGAGGGCATGGGGGAAGGGGGAGGGCATGGAGGTGAGAATGGCAGAGCTGACAGCTGGGTTGCAGTATGCCAATAGCACAAGGGACGTATAGCAGCAGGGTTTTTCTTGAAAATTCTAAGAAATACCATGCGGGAATGGCAGGTGAACCAACAAGTGGCGGGGAAGGGAAGGGGGCATGCGTGGCACTTTTATACACCGAAAAAATTCCACTCATACCCATCCTCACACCACATGTCTCCTCTTCCCCACCTGCCGCCTTCCCTGCGTCTTCCACCCCCTGCCCTCCCCCTCACGCCTGTTCCCCCTCCCAACCCCGTCCCCACTTCCCCTGCCCCCCGCCCCTGCCTTTCACCCACCTGCTCCTTGCCCCACCAGACCCGCCAGCCGCACCGCTCTCAGCAGCGCAGCGCCACAACCCTCCCCACTCGCTTGGTCCCCCCCCCACCCCATTCCCCTCCCCACCACCACCCAACCTGCTCCTTGCCCCCCCAGCCCCGCTAGCAGCGCTCTCAGCCGCGCCACTGCCTCCTCGCCCACTCGCCCCTCCAGAGGTCTTTCACGCAGGTGTGTGACCTCCCCTCCTCTCATTCACCTTTTCCCTTCCGAGCGTCCCCCTCCCGATCCCCTTCCAGCCCTGCCAGCAGCTCTCTGAGCGGCGCCACTGCCGCCTCACCCACTCGCCCCTCCAGAGGCAGTCCGCCTGCTGACGTCAGTCCTCCTCCTGTGAGAGGAGGGGGAAGGCATGGGGGAGGGAAGAGGTTGGGAGAGGGGGAACTAAGTGGCGAAATACGCTTTTGCCTTTAAGCGTATAGCGTTTATCCACTTGCGTATACACGCAAAACGCAATACGCTAGCAAATACGCAATACGCTCGGGAGTTTTTTTCTGGGCAGCCCAAGGTGAAAATTTTCTGGAATATAAAGAAATCTGCCGTTTTTCACGGCGATCATTTCGCGGTGGTCGAAATGCGCATCGGAGATCTATGGTAGCAGGAATGTCACTTCAATGTTTGGATTCAGGTTGGAGTTGCAATTTCGAATTTCAGGGTTCCACCTCTTGGAACCGAACCCAATCTACGAACTCCAACCTTTCCACTACGTCCCCTCCAACACATCGTTTCTCGTCAGATCTACTTCGTCGTACTCACCTAGTCACTCACGAGGCAACGTCAGGTGAAGCCCAGCTTCCCATCACACGACATGAGTCCGCCATGGATTCTGCCGCGCACCTTCGGGTCCAGATCCCGTGAAGGTTCCTTGTCAACTGCCCTTAACAATTATAGATCTGGACTCCTCGTTACAAGGCGCATCGATCGATACTACTTTTGTGTCTACACGTCGGACATCGTATCTTTCGTTAACCGAGATCCAGTTTCTTGTCAGGCATCTAACTTCAAGGCTCCTTTTACCTGGCTACTAACTTCAAGGTTTCGGTTCTCGTCTTTATGTCTTCGGCTGCTTAACAATGACTACATTGCTCCTATTAAGGTTTTTCCGAAGCATGATCCCGAGGCTTCAACCTCGGTGTTTCACCATCAGCAGCAAGAGCAATGGTCCAACACTTCAGCATTTTTCCTACTTAATCAGTCCGTGCTCAGAGTTAAGGCATCAGTTCAGACATCATTGGTCTGCTTTGCAGCCTTCCTGCTTTTCAGTTCTCATCCTTGCACGATGCCTCCCAAGGGGAAGTCCAAGGTTCTGCTGGAGGCCTCATCGCTGGAGCTCCCGTCTATGTCTTCAGGAGCTGCTACCTCGTCGCCTGTTCCTGCTCCTGCCTCATCGGATCCTGCAGGCAAAGGCAAAGGCAAGGTGGAAGAAACCGGCAACGTGACCTATGCTGAAGCTACGGCGAGCGGCTCCGGCCTCTCCTTGGAAGAAAAGCTGCGCTCCTTACGCACGGCTGCTCCTGACAGCGGGTTCCTTGAGGACGACTCCGACGAGGAGCTCGAAGTTGACATCAAGACGGAAGCTTTCAACCACGTTCGCTACACGGCGATTCTTCTGCTCCCCGTGGCCCTCTCCTTGGAAGTGGCTTCGGTCATCACCACGGTCCGTACCCTGATGAAGCGTGTGTGGTCGTCCATGCTCTCTGACGGTGCTGCTGACTCGGCGAAGTTCCAGGAGCTTCTCCCGGCATACGTGGCGAAGACTCGTTATAGTCGGCTGCAAGTCTCTCTCCTGCGTGAAGATGATATCATGAGCATCAGATCGAAAGAGGTGGAATACACGCGTCCGAATGGCACGGTCTTCAGACTCTACTGGCAGCATACCGACAACCCAGCGTTCGTGCGGGAGAAGGCGACGAATGCTCAGGCGATCGAAGTTTTGATCCGCGACGTACCTGCGACGAAGACGCCTGAGATGCTGCGGGAACTGATGGTGGTTTACCAGTTGCGGAACCGGAAGCGTTCGGCGTTCAAGGATGGTCTCTGTTTCCACCGCGTTCTGCACCCGGTCACTGGTGCTGATACTGATGTCGTCAAGGGTCTTGTGATCCCGCACCCTGGCGACCGTTACCGCTGGCGTCACGTCTTCCAGGACCCAACCGAGATCGGCCGTCGCTACTTGGTCCACTTCCCTGCGCTGTCTTGCCTGCTCTGCGGTGGACATCATTATGATGTCAATCATGCTGATTTCACGACGGAGCGGCAAAACAACATAGGGAAGTGGAACCTTACCCTGGGGAGGGTGCATCGTATTAATGGTAACTGCTATTCTAATCATGTTCTCACTTGCTGTCACGTTCTTACCTCTGCTGACTGTCAAGTGGTATCATGCAGCTGCCTCTCTCCCGGCTTCGCCGCTGATCACTCCTATTCTGCTGGATCCGGCGATCGTGCTTATCTCCACGGGTGGAAACCGAGAGGAGTGGATCTGCACGCAAGTGGGTTGTGGGAAGGCCAAGGGAAAGAGCTTCATGTCTGCGGCGGATCACATCACCACGGCCAACCACCTCATTCATCTGGAACAGCTCGGCTCTGCTACACGTGCCTCTCTCGAGAAAGCGAGTCTCAACGTCACCAGGAAAGACTATGGATTCTGAAGGAGGAGCAGCTCGGTAGACGCGCAGCATCAGCAGCAGTAGGCCTCATGATAGTCGGTGCCGTTCTCTTCTTTACCCTGTGGATGCGTAGGGGTTCTCACCTTGTTATCAAATGAGTAAGAAAAGCCTAATCAGTTTCGCGGGCCTTAATGTCAATGGCCTTGGAGATAAGACCAAACAGCAGCGTGTCCTAGACTGGTCCAGACAAGCAGCAGATATCATTGTACTCTCAGACACTAGATTAGCCTCAGATCACCCTCTCTGGTCTCATCCCACTTACAGTTTAGCAGCAGCCGCTTCACCTAGATCGAAAGCCGGCGGAGTTGCTCTGCTCTGTAGGTCGCAGCTCCTCAGCTTTAGCAACGTGGTAGTTCATCCTTCAGGAAGGATAGTCGCCGCCGAAATCCATGGCCTCGGTCTCCATCTTACAGCCATAGCCTGCTACTTCCCGGCTAACCCGACCTCGCGAGCCGTCTTTATCCGTGACACCTTGGGTCCAGTAGTAGATCTGGTCCCGCCTTCCAACCACCTGCTCATCATGGGGGACCTTAACATTATAGAGGACCCAGTGTTAGACAAGTCATCGCGGTTAGGATCGTCTGCGGAGAACGACAGGCTATTCAATCGCTGCAGCACCTTCCAGCTATCCGATGCGTTTAGAACGCTTTTTCCTAGAAAACGGGAGTTTACCTTTTTCTCGCAAGCCCAGCAAGTTAGCACGCGCATAGACCGGGCTCTCATTTCGCACTCACTTTTACCGCACCTGATTCAGGCTTCGCATGTTATGCCGGTGGATTACATCTCTGACCATAGCTTCGCGATTCGCATAGCTCTCCGAATAGACGCCAAACTTAGTCTTGGTCCCGGAAGGTTGTTGAAGCAACGGTGGAGAGGTGTGCTGTCACAGACGGGAGCAGCTTTGAACTTCTGCTTTCGAGGCTGGCTGCCGGGCTCCGTGCTTTCGCGAAGGAGGAGGGTAAACGGGTCAAGGCGACAGCGACTCACCTGGTGGCCGTTGTCGCCAGTCTTCGGCAGGCGATGATGCGGGATCCGACCTGCAAGCAAACAAGCGAACGGTTAGCTGTGAAGGAAGCGCAGCTGCGGGAATATCAGGCTTCACGGAAAGACAAACTGCACCTGATGTCGGGAATGCGGTTGGAGCTCAGGGGTGAAGTAGCGTCGCAGCATCTGACGGCGATGGTGAAGGCGAGGAAGGCGTGTACCCAGATTGCTGAGCTGCAGACGGCAGACGGAGTGGTATCAGACTCACAAGGGATCCTTCGGGCGGCATCGGATTTCTTCGCCGATATCTTCGGGAGAGACCGCTGTCAGCTTGAAGAGAGGTGGCGTCCTAACAAGGACAAGACTTTACGGGCATGGGAAGCAGCGGAGCTATCGGCAGACTGGACAGAAGAGGAGGTGAAGCACGCATTTAGCGCGATGGCGGCGAATAAATCCCCAGGCAAAGACGGGCTGCCTAAGGAATTGTTTGAAGCTCACTGGGACCTGCTGGGAAAAGGGTTCATGGCCCTCGCCAAGGATTTTGCAAGAACCGCGGTGCTTTCGAGGGAGGTGAAGGAAGCGGTGACGATCCTGCTGCATAAAAAAGGCGACAAGGATCAGCTTAATAACTATCGCCCGATCACGCTACTCAACTTCACGTACAAAGTGTTGGCGCGGGTCATGGCCGACAGAATGAAGAAGTATCTGGGGAGGGTGATATCGCCGGAGCAATATGGTTTCCTTCCGGGAAGGCGGCTAACGGATGCAGTGGGACTTGTCGCCGACATCATTGACTCCGCGCGGAACGACAACGAGGACTGGTTCCTCCTGCTAGTCGACTTTAAGAAAGCCTTCGACTCCGTCTCGCGCGGCTATCTTTTCCGGACGATGCGCGCAATGGGCTTCCCGGATCGGTTTGTGAGGTGGGCGGAGGGCCTGCACGAAGGAACGCAAACGAGGCTGTTAGTAAACGGATGGATGGGGGAAGGTGTGGAAGTGATTTCCGGGGTGCGCCAAGGCTGTCCTCTCGCGCCTTACCTTTTCCTCTGTGCGGTTGAGCCGTTGGCGCAGACGGTCCTCAGGAAGAAGATGGGTATCAGCAAAGCAAGTGAGAGATTGGCGTACATCGGGTACGCGGATGACACCACATTGGTATTGGAAGGAAAGCAGCAGCTCATCAAGGCTGAGAAGGTGCTGGCGAAATTCGAACTGACCTCCGGGTTGGCGACAAACCGAGATAAGTCGGTTGTCCTACCGCTGGGGAACAATCTTGGCAGAACGACGGGGAGATCACATAGCTTCAGGTGGGCGAAGAAGGATGAAGCGGAGAAGCTGTTGGGCGTGTGGATCACGCCTTCCGGGAGCTGCCTGCCAACATGGGAGAAAACCTCGGAGGACATATCGGGGAAGGTTAAAAAATGGGAGCAAAAATACCTGCCGACAACGGCGCGTACTGCGGTTGTCAACAGTTACACGATGCCGAAGGCGGCTTTTCAAGCGCAGGTCTACCCGCCGCCGGCAAAACAGTGGGGGGTCATCTCCAAGACCTTCGAAAACTTCCTCTCCGGCAATAAGGCAACGGCGGATAGGGTTTTCCGTCTCTGGAGTAAGGAACTGCTATACACCCCAAGAAAGCTGGGAGGAGTGGGTGTGCAGGACCCGGAGATGATCTTGGCGTGCCTCACGGCGAGGAGGGTAGGGCTGTTAGCACTGGAGACTAATCAGCTGAAAAAACACCTTATGGTGCGGGCCGCGGATCTACCCATGGGCATCGAGACCTTCTTCGCCCATGAGAAGCTGCTGAAGCATTGGGAGGGGAAGAGTGCTCGCTGGAAGGTCGCGTGTGAGAACTTCATGAAAACGCCGCTTGGTACTCTCCCGGAGGCGGCTACAAGAGAAGCGGTGGCAGGGGAGCGGATTGTTTTCAACAAGCGTTTATTGCTCAACGGAACTATGCCGGTGGGAGGCCAGCAAGATGCAAAGCTGTTGTGGGAAAGGCGCCTTGGTGATCTGGTCGAACTCGGAGGTAGCGGGGTTCCGGAGCTAAAGGACTCAGTCACACTGGAAAAAGAGCTCGGCGGGAAGGGAGCAGCCAAGCTTGCACGGAGGGCGTTTGAAGCTGCGCCTCAGAAGTGGAAAGAGCTGCTGCTCAGCGCTTCCCCTCAGCCCTCCAACTCAACGGGGGACAGGAGGGCTCTCCACCCCGCAGGGCGCAAGCTTTCCGACTTCCCCATTTTTGAGAACGGAGGGATTGCGCCCCTGAGGCGGTTGAAGCTACTTTGGAAGGAGGGGCAGAAGCCATCTGCTAAGCAACAGCTGTGGAAGGGCAGGTGGAGCGGAAATATCAACTGGAAAAAGACTATCGCCATTCGTGATTCTCTGGTCACGCCGAGTAAGCCGAGGAATGTTCTGCTGCGAATCCATAATCTGAACCTGCAAGTGGGAGAACGGGTGGCTTTTTTGAGCAGCAAGCCGGTCTGCCCGTACTGTGGGAGTGAGGAAACTCTTGAGCACTGTTTATACAGCTGTCCCAAGATTCAAGTGGTGACGTCTGCACTGCTAAAATCTCTCCGCATGCTAAACAGTTCGCGTGCTGTGTCATCATTGGGAGACCTGTTGTTCCGGAAGGCGGGGACCAGCACGGCTTTTCCGGAAGCCACGCTTACTTCTATTACGCTTCACCAACTGTGGGCAGAGCGGTGTGACGCTGTATTTCGGGGGAAGAAATTCCGGACGAGGCGGGTGCTCCGCCGTGTCGAGGCTGCTTTCCGCCTGCATGCACGCATCTACACGAGATCGAGGGACGCGGAGTGGAAGAAGCGCAGGGGCACGCAACATGAGGGGAAGTTTCGCCGGGTGTTGGAGAGCGAGAACAAGCTACTGTTTCGGATCAGGGACAAGAATAGCAAGTCGTGGACGTGGACGAAAGCCTTCTCAAATGTCTGGCTCGCACCGAGGATGACTCGCCAACCTCCTTAGAGGCCACACCTGGGGCGGCCACATGGTTTCCCCTCATGCGCAGTTACGACTGTTATTGCTTATGTATGTTTGTTCTATCGGTGTACATTGCAATTACCAAAAAAAAAAAAAAAAAAAAAAAAAAACCTAGTCACTCACTCCTAGTCCAAAACGCAATCAATGTCTACTGCAGTTCCCAACCCGCCACCCGATCCCACGCAAGATGACGATAGGGCACGTCCTCTTTGTGAGACTAGGGAGTAACTTCCCGATGTTGAGCACGAAGTCTTTAAGCATTTCGCGTTATAGGGGAAAAAATGAACCTGAGACACAACCTCCGTGAATCGCCCCTGTGAACTATACCTAGGGTGTTTTTTTCACCCTGCCCGGGTTTTTTTTACCCTGCCCGAAAAAGCGTATTCCTGGATTCGGGACCTTAGCGTATAGCGTATAAACGCATGCGTATTTCGCCACTTAGAGGGGGAATAGGGGGGGGTGTGAAAAATTACGCTCGTCCCTCCAGAGGCAGGCCCCCGACTGGGAGGGCAAGAAGAGGAGGGCTAGGGTAAAAGGGGGCTGAGGAAAGACTAGGAATGGGAGAAAAAGGAGGCATGAGAGGAGAAGGAGGGCGAGAGGGATGGCGAGACGACATATTGCATCATAACGCCCCAGTGATGCAAAACTTAGGGAGAAGAGAGGCCATGCGAAGAGGCAGTAAGTTGCGAACAGAGAGGAGGGGAGGCGAGAGGACAGGTAATGAACGCAAGGCCCTTAAGTACGTCCAGAAAGGGCAAAAGATGGATGGGTAGGTAGTTTGGGGCAATTCTCAATGTAATCTGCTGAAATGTCCAATCGGTTTGCTTTTTTTTTTTTTCGGGGGAGGGGGGGGGGGGGGGGCTTCCCAAATGGCATATGATATCATGCTGTGCAATCACGACTCTCACCTCGCGTTGGTGTGCCCAGCAGGCAGCGGAGCGCACGCTGTTGACACTGGCGAGGACGGTAGACAGCAGCGCCAGCAGCACACACGCAGGGGCATACTGCAAGGGCAGTGAGCGACTCACCTCGCGTTGGTGCGTCCAGCAGGCGGCAGATCGCACGCTGTTGACACAAACGAGGGTGGCGGACAGCAGCGCCAGCAGCAGCGGCGAGGAGGAGAGGGAGAGGGAGGGGGAGGGTGGCGGACAGCAGCGCCAGCAGCACACACACACACACACGGCAAGGAATGGCATGCCCTGATGCAGTGATTTAGAGGCATGGCACAGAGGCAGTCAGCAGCTCACCTCACGCTGGTGTGTCCAGCATGCAGCGGAGCGAACACTGTTGACACTGGCGAGGACAGCGGACAGCAGCGCCAACAGCAGCGGCGAGGAGGAGAGGGAGGGGGAGGGGGAGGGCGTGCAGGCGGGAGGGGCGGCGAGCGGGGGCAACAGCAGGTAGGCGCAGGTGAATACGGTTTGGGGTAGGCTGTGACCGCTGTGCCACGTGGCCTGGGAGGGGGGAGGGGGGGGAGAGGGGGAGGGATAAGGCAGAGGGGAGTGGGGGCGAACAGGGGGCGCATGGAGTGGCGAGAGGGGCTGAAACGCCACACAGTGGGAGTGGCGAGGATTGGAAGAAGGAAGCGGGGAAGGAGACGGCACGGGGGGGCACCAGCAGCACAGCGTTTTGCAGGGCAGCAGGACAATTGCAAACAGCACACCTCAGCACACAGCAGTGCGTTACAAAGGTCCACGATGCAATGGGCTGACAGAGGACAGGAGCGGGAGGGGGCTACAAGAACAACAACACCGCACCACACCACACCTCACCGCAACTTAACCGCACCTCACCGCACCTCACCGCACCTCACCGCACCTCACCGCACCTCACCGACCTCACCACACCACATAGCCCACCTCACCGCACAGAACCACACAGCACCGTTCCTCAGCGCATCACAGAGGTCCACGATGCGGTGCGCTGGCAGAGGCAGCAGCCCTCGCTCCACCGCCTCCCCCACACTCTCCACCTCCCCCCTCGCTGGCAGAGGGCGGGAAGGAGGAGAGGGAGCCAGCACCGCACCACAGCAGCACACCTCACCTCACTGCACCGCATAGCAACGCACAGCACCATACCTCAGCACACAGCAGCGCGTCACAGAGGTCCACAATGCGGTGCGCTGGCAGAGGCAGCGGCAGCAGCCCTCGCTCCATCGCCTCCCCCACACTCTCCACCTCCCCCCTCGCCCCCTCTGCGCCCCCTCCTTCCCCCCCGATTTTCCCCCCGCCTCCCCCCTTGGCCCCCCCCATGCCTGCGTCCATCTTGGGATCCATCATCTGGGCAGGAGGAAGGGGGGATGTGGGGGGTCCGGGCAGGGGGGGCAGGGAGGGTTGAGGAGAAAGCAAGACGGATTCACGTGCCCCCACATGCCCCCATCCATCTTGGGATGCACCATCTGGAAGGGGGGAAAGCGTGCAGGAGGGACGGGGTTTCACAGCACAGTCATGCCCGCATCGGCATCCATCTTGGGATCCATCATCCTCATGGGGCGGGGAGAAGGGGGGAAGGGGCGGGCAGGAGGGGCAGGGAGGGATGCGAGGGGTGAGAGGGGTTCGGAGGGATTGGGAGAGTTGTGAGGGGTTGGGAGGGTTGGAGTGGTAAGCAGTGAGTAAAGGGCAAGGCGGATGAGAAGGAAATCAAATTGGGAGAGCTGGCGAGGAGGAAGTCGGATGGATGAGGGAGAGAAAGGCAGGCGGCGAGAGGCGACGAGGAATGGGCAAAGTGGGAATGGTGCGAGGGAGGGGAGAGACCAGCAGCACACACGCGAGGGAGGGGAGAGACCAGCAGCACACACGCGAGGGAGGGGAGAGACCAGCAGCACACACGCGAGGGAGGGGAGAGACCAGCAGCACACACGCGAGGGCGGCGGAAGAAGGGGAAACGGGCGCACAGTGGGGCGGAGAGGCCGCAGTGGGGGAGGCGGAGTGTGGGGAAGTGGGTGCCGGGAGCGTGCAGAGGGGGGGGCGTCGTGTGCAAAGGGAGGGGGAGCGTGTGCAAAGGGGGGGGGCGTGTGCAAAGGGGGGCGTCGTGTGCAAAGGGGGGCGTCGTGTGCAAAGGGGGGCGTCGTGTGCAAAGGGGGGGGGCGTGTGCAAAGGGAGGGGGCGTGTGCAAAGGGGGGGGGCGTGTGCAAAGGGGGGGGGCGTGTGCAAAGGGGGGGGGCGTGTGCAAAGGGGGGGGGCGTGTGCAAAGGGGGGGGGCGTGTGCAAAGGGAGGGCGCGGGGCGGTGGGGTGCACCTGGAGGGCGGCCATGGCTTCGAAGAGACTGAAAGATTCGCCATGCAGTAACTCGCCCGACTGCAGCTCTGATGTTGACGAGAGGGGGGTAGCGGGAGAGGGGAGGGAGGGAGGGAAGGAGGAGAGGAGGGAAAGGGGGCGAGATTGGGGAGATAGGAGACTGAAAGACTCGCCGTGCAGTAACTCGCCCGACTGCAGCTCTGATGGTGACGAGAGGGGGAAGGGGGGTGGGAAGAATGGCCAGCGGGACGGAAGGAGGGGGCTCTTGAGCTGTCTCAAAAAAGGAGACTGCGGTGCGACTGCGCAAGCACACCAAGATGAGATGGCGAAATGCCATGCAAGCAGCGTGAGCGTGGTGGGATGCCATGATGCGGTACGGACCCCCGGCTGTGCTGCCTCGTCCCTTCCACCGAACTGTGGCAGCAATTCAAGGCTCGCCCGCGCAAGGCTAATCCGCGCCGGGCTAATCCGCGCAGGGCTACTCCGCGCAGAGCTAATCCGCGCAAGTCCCGCGCGCAATGCGATCAAGATCTCACCGGCGCAAGCGGCGGCGAGCGCGGCATCGGCGTCGCGCCACACCGTCTGATCGCCCGCGCGCTCCGCGCCCAGCGGCCGTGCGACGTCGTCCAGCGCCATGGCGACCAAATTCTGCTTGGCACGCCGCTGAGTGGCTACCTACGAGCGACGACGCGGGACCAGCGACGAGTGACGGGTGAGTAGTGATGAAATTGATGTCGGCCCTAGCGGTGGGACGAGCGTGAGGTGCTTATCTAGCGTCTTCACGTCGCGACGCGTTTCAAGTGCGCAACGCGGTCGCCTTGGAGGAGATCCAGGCCGCGCGGCCAACGTACGGAACGTTGATCTTGGCTGATTGGAACGTCCTGCCAGGATCAATGGCCAACATGCAGTAAATCGTGATGCACGGCCAATGTGTGGAACGTGAATCGTGATCGGTGCTGGACGGTGGACTCTAGGAATTTGCATGAATTGAAAGACACTCAAGAGTCCTGCAAAATCTTTTAGACTGAACGCGGCTCAGCGATATTCGATGCGTTGCAAAACGGTCAATTTGATATATACACTGGTTCAGTAGTTTATGTGAAAATACGAACATGTGGAACGCCTGCTCCGAAACTCGTACCAGAATTAACCGTAATGCACAGGAAAAGCGGAACTCGTCGTTTCGCTTTTGAAAGCTTTGGCATTCGCAACAACAGAAGTAATCAAAGAGAACCATAACGTTAGGACGCATTCTTTCGCTCGCTATTTCAAGATTCCAGCGCCTATAACTCGCAGCAACCGCGTCGCCACACTCTCGCCGCGCGTCGTCGGCCGACGGGGCCCCGTCACACCGCAGGCAGCTGCCTGGATTTCTTCATCCCGTCCTTCGCCCCCTCGCGTGTTGCAGGGAACCCCTCTCGCCGCTTCCGCCGTTTTTCCGCCTCCGCCGCTGGCAGCCGGGCAGGGCAACGGGACCAGCGGCGCAACACTCAGGTGCGTCATTCCCCAGCCATGGCCATCCCTCAACAGCCCTTTTCGCCCTCCCCCGCCTCCGCCAGCCCTACCCCGCCCTACGCCGCCGTACCCCGCCCCCGCCCGCCGTACCGCGCCTCCCCTTGCGGGCCATCATCGGCTGCCCACGCCCCTCGCGCTGCTCCCTCTAAGGATCGTAAACACCTTAGTCGGCAATAGTCTACTTGCTATCGCCTATCGTGTTCTCCACGATCTCACGAATCCAATGATATGCGCAGCTCTGCTTGAAGTTGTCAATACACACTTCAGCAATTTTCAGAATCTCAATGTTGTCAATGTTGTATTTCCAGAATGAGTACAAACAGGTTTATACTCAGGCAAGACACAAAATGCGATTCGTAACTTCACTTGTTTCCCAAGTAACCGCGTGCGCCTCGTTTCACCCCGAGTCGTACACGCAACCGAACCGAATTCGGTGAACACTCCTCAAGTCCGAATCTGTAACCTTCTCGAACGCGCCTTGGTCTCAAACCACATTTTCCCCTCGTCAACTTCAATCTCGATGCTTCTTCCACCTTCTCACACATTCCTTCTTGATTTCTCTCTCCCTTCGCACGTCGTAGGCCGATTTCCACCGCTTCTCTCTAGAATAGTCAACACGCTTCCGTCGCCTTCATTCTGCTGTCGTAGAAGCTTTCGCCTTAGGTTCTGTGGTTGGGCGAACCAACCCTAACAATCTCCCCTGTGGTTCGTCAACCACAAACACCACTCGCACTCCTCCCCTGCTCCTTGTAGCCTTCACGGGGTCTAAATGGGCTTCACGCTCCCCTGCAGCTCCAGCACCTTGAACCTCTGCTTACGTGTCTTAAAGTTGAGCACCTTGACATCCAAACCTTGAGAGATTTTCTTAAGCCTCTCGCTTCTCCTCGGCATCTTAGCACCCAACACCTCTCGGGTCTCATACCCCTCAACCTGTTCCTCTTTCGTAAGCACTCGCCCCTTTGCAGTTGCATTTGCCTTTGATCCCTTCACCATGATGTCCCCTTTCACAGCTTCAACTCCCACACACTTCGCATTTACTGCTTCATCTTCAACCACGATCGCTGCTACAAAAGTGTTGACACCATCTCCATCTCCATCATTCACCATTGCTACCTCCATGGTGACTATCTCCTCTTCCTGCTTCTCTGCTGCCTCCACACTCGCCCCCGTATCATCCGTGTCCTCGCTCTTATCAACCTTAGTCAAAAACCCCTCCAGTTCTCCCATCTCACCATACTCAGGATCCTCATAGATCTCATCCATATAATTCATCGCTATCACGTTCATCTCATAAAACCCGTCACTGAAGTAACCATCAGCATACTTCTCTCACTCAGGACCAAACACAGTCACCTGGCCACTGTCATAGAATATCTTGCACCCCAAGTCATCAAGCTGTAACTGACTGACCAAGTTCACCTTTAAATCATCAACCAAGAGTACACTCTCCAGTTTCACCTCTCCATACGGACTCTGCAGCACCACGCCACCCTCTCCTGTCACTGGTAACTTCCCACTGTTACCTTGCAGTATATAATCCTCACTCGACTCCTTCACATTCTCCATCCAATCTGACCTGAACGTCATGTGACGCGTGCATCCGATGTCTATGAACCATGCCGTCTTCTCGCGTCCATCCATCTGTGGAGCCTCCTTCGGTAAACGCACCACGTTCGCAAGATGCGCTCCTCCAAAATCACATCCTCCTTTTCGGCTTCCACTACATTCGCCTTACCCGCCACAATCCTCTGCTGCGACGGTCCCTTGTAGCTCCTGCTGTTCGGATTAGAGTAGCATTCTGCGGCACGATGTCCATAGCGCCCACAATGTGAGAACAGTAAGCATAAGCAGGAGCCATAGCTAGGTAAACCCTAGCTAGGCAAGAGAGAAATGAAGAAAGGAGGGGTTTCACTAGCAGCAGTTGGGATACATATAGCAAACCCTAACAGGGTTGTACTCGCTATAAAGCACCCCACTACAGGCTAGATAATAACATTCTGACACACAATAGTCGCACTTGCCGCTGAAGCCTCGTTTCTGCTGCCACTACGCTCCCCCATTTTCTCCTTTGTCGTTCTCCACCGCTTTACCCTTGTAGTTTCTGCTTCGTGGATTTTCATAGCAGTGTATCGCCTTGTGCACCCTCTTTCCACACTGGTAGCACGCTCCAAACGCCTTCGTGGCATTCACCATAGCCATCCTCTCCTCATCGAATTCATTAGCTGCTGCTGCCGCTTTTTTTTCCTCATATCCTTCACCGTCTCAAGCGATTGCAGAATCTCCTGCAGCTTCGTCAAACTTGTTACAATGACAGAACAAGGAATGACTGAACTAGCAAGGAGAAGGGTACAAGTAGGAAAACCTAGCAGTGTTGTACCCCATATAGTCTACCCCACTACAGCCTACATCGCCTTGTTGTCTACGTACAGAACTGGAAGAGAACGAGGCGGCTCTCCCAGGTCAGTCAGCAAGTAGGTGAGCCAGCGTAACTCCTGTGCAGCCATGGCCCCTGCGTAGATCTCAGCCTCACAGCTGGAGCTGAGAACAGAAGACGAGCGGGTAGACCGCCAAGAAACAGAGCCTGAACCAAGGCTGAAGGTGTAACCCTGTGACGACCGCTGCGTAGCCAAGTCGTCAACCCAAGACGCGTCTACGTGACTAGTGAGGATCACTGGACTCCGCCCTCCAAGCACGAGCCCCATGCCCGACGTACTGCACAAGTAGCGCAACACCCTCTTCGCTCCAGCCATGTGCTCTGGTCGGTGTCTCCCAGGAGCAACATAGCGTGCCAAGATGCTAAGAGGGTATGCCAGGTCAGGTCGAGTGCAGGTCATCAGGTATATGAGGCAGCCAACAAGCTCTGGGTACGGGCCACTCGGCTCTACGGACTGATCCGAAGGCAGAGCTGAGAGCGAGTGGCGAGTAGACAGAGGAGTGGCCTGGGGCGAGGAGTACGTGAAGTCGAAGCGCTGAAGGACCTGCTGCACCATGTATGAATGAGTCAGGGTAATGGTGCGCCGTGCTCTGTCCCGGGTGATCTGCAAGCCAAGATAGCTGCGCAGTTCACCCAGGTCTGTGTACGTTTGTCTCATCTGCAGCTCGGACTTCACGTGGGTGAGTCCAGCAGTGTCAGCAGTAGCAAAGACCAAGTCGTCGACGTACACGAGGATGTAGAACGGCGGCAAAGAGGTGTCGGTGCGTAGAAACAGCGACGGGTCAGCAGTAGAAGGAGCAAGCCCAAGGGCCACAAGTGTAGTCCTCAATGTGTCAAGACACTCACGGGGCGCCTGGCGGAGACCGTAGACTGGCCGCCGGAGGCTCCACTGGGTACCAGGAGGAAACGACCCAGTGAAGCCAGGTGGGCGGCACAGCCAGATCTCCTCGTGCAGGCTGCCCTGTAGGAAAGCAGTGCTGAAGTCAAGAGAGTGAAGCTCGTAGTCGCGCTGGGCGGCTATGTGCAGCAGCACCCGAAGAGTGGTCATCCTCAGGGTGGGAGAGAAGGTCTGGAAGTAGTCAACTCCCTGTCGCTGACTGAAGCCTTGAGCCACGTAACGCGCCTTGAAGACAGGTGGAGAACCAGGCAGCCGCTTCACCCTGAAGATCCACATGCCACTGACGATGTTCGCCCCAGGTGGGGGAACCTCGTCGACGTAGGTGCCTGTGGACTTCCAGGAAGCCATCTCTACGTCCATGGCTGTCTGCCACAGAGAGGAGTAGGGACCCTCTATCGCCTCTGCGTAAGAACGCGTGGTCGGGATGTCTGGTGCATCCGGGTCTCCCTCAGGGGCAAGCAGCATGGACACGAGATGAGGTAAAGGAGCAGCAAAACACTGGAACTCCTCCTGCCTGTCCTCAAGGACGTCCGTGCCAAGAGCACACTCACCCCCGACGGACGGAGGACAGACAGACTCAGACTCAGCAACAAGACTAGCGGCGTAGTCTAGACGACAGTAAGCAGCGAAGTCGAAAAGCTCAGCAACTAAGGCAGACGCAGCAGTGGACTCAAAGAAAGGGTCAGTGACAACAGTGGCCAGGAGACGCGTGACAATAGGACTGGCAGCACGAAGGGAGTCAGACTCCGGGTCAGCAAGAGCAGGAAGAGAGGACTCTGGAGGAGACGGCAAAGGGACACGCAGTGGAGCAGTGGAAGGACGTAGTGCCATCTGGTGCGTGCCTGGGAACGCAGGAGGACGCTGACGTGGAACACGACGACCAGTGCGAGCAGCACGAACAGGCGACGCAGGACGAGTCTCAGGCTCACGACGCTCAGCAAGACCTCCAGTAGGACCAGTGTAGGGAGAAGGAGGAGGCAGTGGGGAGGCCAGCTGTAACTGTGACTCGGACTGGACACGCGGTGGACACTCTAAGGAAGGAGCAGGACCAGTAGAAGGCGGGAGACCAAGAACCTGCTCAAGGAGCGGAACGAAGTACGGCCGCGGCCGCGCAACACCTCTAGAACTAGCAGGGACAGCACCAGCACCCCCAGCGTCAGCTCCAACAGCTCCAGCAGCACCACCAGCTGCTCCAGTAGCGCCAACTCCAGCACCCACAGGAGCAACGGCTCCAGTAGCACCTCCAGCTCCAGCACCTCCAGCAGCTGCAGCTCCAGCAGGACCACCGGAAGACGAAGCAGCACCAGCTCCAGCACCTCCAGCAGCACCTACTCCAGCAGCACCGCCAGCTCCAGCACCGCCAGCAGCTCCAGCACCAGTAACACCACCAGCCCCAGCAGCTCCAGTACCTCCAGTACGAGCACCTCCGGGACCCGTGGCTCCAGAACCCCCAGCAGTCCCAGCAGCAGAACCTCCAGCGCCGGAAGCACCACCAGCTCCAGCAGCACGGCTCCAACGCCAAGCAAACCACTCGCGCAGCTCCTGCGGAGAGAGTAGCTCCCGCCGGGACGAAGCACCCGAAGGACCTCCATGCCCAGCACCGCCAGACTCCACACGAGCAGGCCCAGCACCCTCAGGCTCCGCACCCCCAGACTCAGCAACCCCAGGCTCAGCACCCCCAGACTCAACACCCCCAGGCTCAGCACCCCCAAACTCAACACCCCCAGACCCAGCACCCCCAGACTCCGCACGCTCAGGATCAGCACCCCCAGACCCGGTACTCGCAGGCTCAGTACCCCTTGCAGCACCATAGTCAACAGCTACCTCGACAGGCTCGACTGCGTCTACCTGGGACACACCTGAAGGGGTAGGACCCTGAGGAGGTAGGGGGACTACCGGGGTGGGACCTGGCGCGAGGAAGGGGAGCAGTGCTGTAGGGGAAGAGACGGTAGTAGGGAACCGACTCGTCAAACGTGACGTCCTCATAGGACAGAACACGGCGCGAGGTGGGGTGGTAAAATTGCCAACCAGGCGCGTCAGGGGGGAAGCCGAGGAAGACGCATGGAACAGCACGGGAGGACAGCTTGTCCGCAGACAAGTCGCGGACAAAAGCTCGAGATCCCCAGACACGGAACGCAGACGCATCGCCAACCTTTCCCGTCCACCGCAGAGCAGGGGAGGTCTCCGGCATGGAGACCCGGGGCTGAAGGTTGATCTGATGCGCCGCGTACTGAACCGCAAACGGCCACAGAAAATGGGGGGCAGCCGCATGGATCATGGACGTACGAGCGACGTCCATGACCATGCCAATGCGGCGCTCAGCAATCCCATTTTGCTGCGGAGAGGCCGGAAGCGTGAACGTCTGGCGGATGCCCTCCGCACGACAGTAGGCTCGCAGAAGGTCGGAGGAAAACTCTCCACCTCTGTCGGAGTGCAGACGCAGAACAGGAAAGTCCGAGTCGAACCTCTCCCTGAGCTGGAGACGGGCAGCGCGGATCCAGTCGATCAACACCTCAATGACCTCACCCTTGCAACACAAGGGGAAGACTGTGGTGTAACGCGAGTAGTCGTCAACCACCAGCACGAAGTAACGCTCGTGACCCTGTCCACGGACGCGGGCTGGGCCCCACACGTCCATGTGGAGAGTCTGCAGAGGAGCCTCTATCGGAGGAAACTCGGAGGAGTGAGGAGCGGCGCGCTGCCGCCCCTCGACGCAGGGAACGCAGGTAGGGGCAGGCCCAGGGGGAAGGGGAGGGAGGGACCGGAGGAGACCAGAGAGAAGGACACGGGAGGCCATGCCTCGAAGACGAGGCAGGGAGGGCTGACCAAGGCGGTGGTGCCAGAGGAGAGTCTGGTGAGACAGGAGACGACACGAGCAGGGGGCAGACTCAGGACCAGACCTGGACGCTGCAGCAAACACCTGACCCGACGCAGCTACCTGACCAGACACAGTAACCGGAGGAGACTCGGTAGTCAGTGTGTAGAGGCTCGACCCCGGCTGACGGGTAAACGTTGCCAAGTGTCGGCCCATCTGAGCACACGTGCAGTGGGTCACTCGCTGACTCGCAAGAGTGAACTGGTCAACCCCCCCATCCTGCAGGTCAGCACCACTCACCAAGTTCGTGGAGAACGAGGGGAGGTAAAGACCTGACAGGGAGCCAGACGGGGCCGCTGGACACGGTAGGACAATGGAGTAGTGGGCAAGGACAGGACCCCCAGAGGGGTCTGCCAGGGAGACTGCAACCGGCCGACTAAGCGGCGTGAGTGTGGTGCGGTCTCGAAAGAAGGAGTGGGAAGCACCCGAGTTAAGGGTGAAGGTGTGCAAGACTGTAGCAGGCGCAGCACCAGAGAGAGCAGACTCACCAGCACCTGGAGCAGTAGAGTCACCACCGCCTAGAGCAGCAGCCTCACCAACACCTGGAGCAGGAGACGCACGAGCACCTAGGGCAGCAGCCTCACCGGCACCTGGAGCAGGAGACGCACCAGCACCTAGAGCAGCAGACTTACCAGCACCTAGAGCAGCAGACTCACCAGCACCTAGAGCAGCAGACTGGATACCGGGGTTAGGTGGCACATACAGGTGATAGGCACCCTAAGTACTAGTAGACAATGCATACATGGCAGTGAGGATAGCATCATAGTCAAGAGCAAAGAAATCTACCCTCTGCCTAAGCAGCTCCACCCAGTCGGGGAGCTCAGCGTCGTCGCCAAACTCTGTACGCCAAGAGTCGCACAGACGGGCAAAGCAGCGGGACTCTGTGTGACTAGCCGTCCCGCAAGGCTGACCAGTCCGGACACCCGTGCGAATGACGTACGGGCAGCGAGCAGCACTCAGCGACCCTCTACTCTGAGCGTACCACTCACGAAGCTGTTGGGGCGAAAGAGCCTCGCGCGGACGACTCTGCAGCTGCACCTGGCCACTACCAGAAGCTCCCAAACTACCCACTCCAGCGCGACTCCCACTACGGCCACCCCGACAACCCCAACTAGCGTACCACTCACGAAGCTGCTGGGGCGTGAGGGACTCACGCGGACGGCCCTGGAGCTGCATCTGGCCACGCCAGGAGCAGCAGTAACAGCAGTAGTAGCGGTAGCAGCGCGGGCAGGGCAGTGCTCACCCGTGGAGGGAAGGGCAGACGCACGACGGCGGCGACGGCGGGGCCGCTACAGCTGCAGGGCGGGGCCGCGACCGCGGCAGGGAGCTCCGCGGCAGTTGGTGCAGGGCGGGGCCGGGCCGCGACGTCAGCTGCTGCAGGGCGGGGCAGTCGGCGACGGCAGCTGCTGCAGGGCGGGGCAGTCCGCGACGGCCGCTGCTGTAGGGCGGGGCAGGGCCGCGACGGCAGCTGCTGCAGGGCAGTGCAGGGGCGGCCGTCCAAAGGGCGGGCGCGGGGTAGGGCAGGGCGCCGCGGCGGGCAGGGGCGACGCCGCGCGGGTCCCGCAAGGGCGTCGCGACGAGCTGGGGCGACGCCCGGGTCCCGTTGGGGCGGCGCGACGCGCAGGAGCCGCGCCTCGCGGGTCCCGCAGGGGCGTCGTGACGAGTCGGCGGTGACGGGCGGGTCTCGCAGGGGCGTCGCAACGAGGCTGGGGGCGACGCGCGGTCCCGCAGGGGCGTCGCGACGAGGCAGGGGCGACGCGTCGCGACGAGGCAGAGGCAGGGCGACGCGTCGCGGGGTCCAGGGGCCGCGCCGCGGGGTCCAGGGGCGGCTGCGCTGGTGCAGGGCAGGGGCGGCTGTTCCAGGGGCCAGGGGCGGCTTGTCCAGGGGCCAGGGGCGGCTGTTGCACGAGCGACTGCTCCAGGGGCCAGGGGCGCGGGTAGGCAGGCGCTCAAGGGCGCGGGTAGGCAGGCGCTCGAGGGCGCGGGTAGTCAGGCGCAAGGCACGTGACAGGGCAGGCAGGCACGACAGTGCGATTCGGGCAGGGCAGGAAAAAATTTTGTGGTGGGCCCTAAAAAAAAACCGGTCCCATTAGGGAACCTACTCAGAAACCATGTTAGAATGACAGAACAAGGAATGACTGAACTAGCAAGGAGAAGGGTACAAGTAGGAAAACCTAGCAGTGTTGTACCCCATATAGTCTACCCCACTACAGCCTACACAGACTATGTCATGTATGTTTGACAAAACTCTCCGGCGGTTGGTACGTAAACATACCGATGTCGGATTCCCACTCCTTAGGAAGGCCTTGGATGATATAGTCAATCATCTCATGCTCTGTCTCCGCGGCTCCCATCACCCGCAAATCGTCGTTGTAGCTTTTCGCCCTGTTGATGTAGGTGATGATTTTCTCGCCTTTCTCCATGCTCAGCATCAGAAGTTGCTTCCTGATCGCCTTCTTGTTGACATCGTTGGTGCCCATGTACGTGGACTCCAGGTACTCCCACGCTTTCTATGCAGAGTTCAGCTCCCCTGCAAACTGGTCCAAATCCACCGCGATTCTATCGGCAACTGAATGACGAAGCTGAAAGAATGCTTGCTTACTTTGTTTCTTAAACACCGCTATTTTCTCCTTCGTATCCGTCGTGGAAGGCGCAACTCCCTCCATCGTCTCCTCGTCGGGACGGTAGTACGGCAAGAGGTCCACCTCCTCTGCCCTTCTAATGAACTTCTTCCGCCACACGTTGTAGTTGCTTCCGTTGAAGCGCCGAGCTTCACTGAGCCCGATCGTCGGTTTCGCCACCAATCGGCCACTCGCAAGGGCCTCGAGAAGAGCCTTCAACTGCGGGTCTCCAAGACTCACACTGGAACCCGAACTCGCCTCGTCTCCCATAGCGTATGCATGAACGACTCCTCTTCTCCACTAATTTCTCTTAGAGCACCAAGTGAATTCACGACAACCGACGTGCCCGTTAACCTCGCTCTGATACCAGTTTTTAGGATCGTAAACACCTTAGTCGGCAATAGTCTACTTGCTATCGCCTATCGTGTTCTCCACGATCTCACGAATCCAATGATATGCGCAGCTCTGCTTGAAGTTGTCAATACACCAGCAATTTTCAGAATCTCAATGTTGTCAATGTTGTATTTCCAGAATGAGTACAAACAGGTTTATAGTCAGGCAAGACACAAAATGCGATCCGTAACTTCACTTGTTTCCCAAGTAACCGCGTGCGCCTCGTTTTCCCCGAGTCGCACACGCAACCGAACCGAATTCGGTGAACACTCCTCAAGTCCGAATCTGTAACCTTCTCGAACGCGCCTTGGTCTCAAACCACATTTTCCCCTCGTCAACTTCAATTTCGATGCTTCTTCCACCTTCTCACACATTCCTTTTCGATTTCTCTCTCCCTTCGCACGTCGTAGGCCGATTTCCACCGCTTCTCTCTAGAATAGTCCACACGCTTCCGTCGCCTTCATTCTGCCGTCGTAGAAGCTTTCGCCTTAGGTTCTGTGGTTGGGCGAACCAACCCTAACACTCCCCCCATCCTGGCGCCGCCTCACTCTCTCCCCGTCTGCGCCCGGCCCACCATGGCGCAACGCTCCGCCTGACCGGGGGGAGCGAGCGCGCAGTGGGGGGAGGAGAGCGGGCACTGGGGGGAGGCGAGCAGGCAGTGCGGGGAGGTGCGCAGGCAAGTGGGGGAGGCGCGTGCACACACCATCCGCACACGCTGCATCTGCGCATGCCACATCCGCACATGTCACATCTTTTGCTGACATCTGAAACTCCCATCGCCAACCAAGGCCGCCCGTCCAACTCCCATCCTTTGCTTCTCTCCGCCACCCCTCTCCCCTGCAATGCAACTCCCCTGCAGCCAGCCATGCCACAGCGCCCTGGTCTGTCCACACTGCGCCCAGTGCGACGTGCCTCCGCCCACACCTGTTGTCTAGGAGGGAGGGAGCGCGTGGTGGGGACCCTCTTGGGACGAGTTTTGAGACGTCTCCTGGGAGGGAAGCGTGTCTAGGAGGGAGGGCGCGGTGGGGGACCCTCTTGGGACGAGTTTTGAGACGTCTCCTGGGAGGGAAGCGTGTCTAGGAGGGAGGGCGCGGTGGGGGACCCTCTTGGGACGAGTTTTGAGACGTCTCCTGGGAGGGAAGCGTGTCTAGGAGGGAGGGCGCGGTGGGGGACCCTCTTGGGACGAGTTTTGAGACGTCTCCTGGGAGGGAAGCGTGTCTAGGAGGGAGGGCGCGGTGGGGGACCCTCTTGGGTGCTGCAGGAGAGTCGTCTCGAAGAGGAGAGGCCCCTGTAGCAGCAGCAAGGAGGGGCAGCAGCCTCGGGAGCCGCCTTGGGAGCAGCCTCGGGAGCAGGCGAGGGTGGTGGGGTGGCGCAGCAATGGGAGCGCCGAAGCAGAAGTGGACAGCGGAGGAGGAGGGGGCGTTGAGGGCGGGGGTGGATAAGTACGGCCCGGGCAAGTGGCGCGCCATTCAGAAGGACCCTGCTCTTGGGCCCTTGTTGACTCATCGCTCCAATGTTGACCTCAAGGTGCGTGTGTGTTGGGCTTTGCTGGGGCGTGTTGCTGCAGGGCTCAGGGTGTTCTGGGGCGTTGAGGGCGGGGGTGGACAAGTATGGCCCGGGCAAGTGGCGTGCCATTCAGAAGGACCCTGCTCTTGGCCCGCTGCTCACCCACCGATCTAATGTGGACCTCAAGGTGCGTGTGTGTGTGTGTGTGTGTGTGCTGGAGTTTGTGTGCTAGGGTGAGCTGGGCTCAAGGTGTTCTATCCAGCTGGGGGGAATGGACAAGTACGGCCCGGGCAAGTGGCGTGCCATTCAGAAGGACCCTGCTTTTGGGCCGCTGCTGACTCATCGTTCTAATGTCGACCTCAAGGGGTGTGTGTGTGTGCTGGGGCGTGCTGCGGTGTGCCAGGCTGGGGTGAGGACAAGTGGCGCACCATTCAGAAGGACTCTGCCCTGGGGCCATTGCTTACGCACCACCACTCCCCACCCCCCCCCCCCCTCCCCCCCCCCGCCTCCCTCCCCACCCTTCCACTACAGGACAAGTGGCGCAACATGACAGCAGCAGCCACTGGTGGGGCCGGCAGCAGTGCCAGTGCAGTGGTGCCGGTGCCAAGGGTGCGCGCCCCCAGGGAGCAGCGGGCGGCAGCTGCGGCGGCACGTGCTGAGCTGGCAGCGGTCGTGGCGATGGAGGAGGAGGAAGACGCCCTATTGGCCGCCGCTGCTGCTGGCAGTGACGCTGACGTGGCTGAGGGTGCTGATGACGGTAGTGGTGCTGGTGATGCGGATTTTGCTGGTGGGGGGGGCGAGGGGGGGGTAGGGGCAGGGGAGAGCGGGTCTATGGGCGGGGCTGGGGGGGGGACGGATGGTGAAAAGGGCGGAGAGGGTGTGGGGGGGGGCAGTGCGAGCAGTGGGCGCACTGGCAGTCGTGGGGGGACGGGGGAGGAGGGGACGTGGGCCGTTGTACCCTCCGCTGCTGCTGGCATGGGCGTTCCTGTGACCAGCAATGCAAGGTAATGCATTTGTGCTGGTGCTGCTGGCTGTAGAGAAATTGCGTGAGGCAATGGTTTGATGGAACACGGCCGTTGCTGGTGCTTACCTCGTGCTGCTTGCTGGTTTGGTGCTGCTCTGTTACCAGCAATGCAAGGTGATGCATGTGTGCTGCTGGCTGGCTGGCTGTAGCGAGATTGCGTGAGGCAATGGTTTGATGGAACAAGGCCATTGCTGGTGCTTGCCTCTTGCTGCCGAAACGTTGAACAAGCACAAGGAGACACTGTGCGGCAGCAGATTCGGAGTCTGTTAGCAATGCATATATGTGGGATTCGAAGTCACGGGATTTGCTGGTTCTTGCCTCTTGGTTCTTGCTGCCACTGCTTTCATATAAAATTTGGCATGCTTTTGCATGGCACGAGATGGCATGGCATGGCATGGCATGTCACGGCATGGCATGACATGGCACCTCACCGCACGGCATGGCATGACACGGCACCTCACCACACGGCATGGCATGACACGGCACCTCACCGCACGGCATGGCATGACATGGCAGGTTGGATGAGGCGATCATGATGGCCGTGGCATCGTTGGAAGGCTCACAGGCAGCACATGGGTGCTCCGCTGCAGCTGTTGTGAAACACATTGAGGTGCGGCCCTGGCTTAAGAAAATTATCTGATGGCTCTGACTCGATCCACCGCACCGCACATCACAGCACATCACAGCACCGCACATCACAGCACCGCACATCACAGCACATCACAGCACCGCACATCACAGCACATCACAGCACCGCACATCACAGCACATCACAGCACATCACAGCACCGCATGTCACAGCACCGCACGTCACAGCACATCACAGCACCGCACATCACAGCACATCACAGCACCGCACATCACAGCACCGCACATCACAGCACCGCACATCACAGCACCGCACATCACAGCACATCACAGCACCGCACATCACAGCACATCACAGCACCGCACATCACAGCACCGCACATCACAGCACATCACAGCACCGCACATCACAGCACATCACAGCACCGCACATCACAGCACCGCACATCACAGCACCGCACATCACAGCACATCACAGCACCGCACATCACAGCACATCACAGCACCGCACATCACAGCACATCACAGCACCGCACATCACAGCACCGCACATCACAGCACCGCACATCTCAGCACCGCACATTACAGCACCGCACATCACAGCACCGCACATCACAGCACCGCACATCCCAGCACAGCACAGCACATCACAGCACCGCACATCACAGCACAGCACAGCACAGCACATCACAGCACAGCGAAGCACAGCACATCAAACCTCATCCCATGTCTCTGCAATGCATCACACCGCACTGCATCGCTGCATATCACATCACAATTTTATGATATTCCATTCCATCATCACACCGCATGGCACCGCATCGCACCGCACCACGCCGCTCAGCGCATCGCATTCCTTGCCCTATTCCCCCCTACTCTCCCCCCCTCCATCTCCCCCCAATCCCCGCCTAGGATCACCAAGCATGAACCCCTGTAACACTGCCCTGTGCCTTGCCACTCATTCTCCCTGTGGACCCACGCTTGCCTCCGCAACCCCCTCCCTCGCCCCCTTTCAGGACCACCGTGCATCACCACCCAATCTGCGCTGCCTCGTGCTGCATCTCATGAAATTTACTGGCAGTACATCAGTCCCGCTTCCCACTCATTGTCCCTGCCACCCCCGCTACATCCCCCCCCCCCCCCCCCCCCCCCCCCTTTCCCACCCCTCCTCTACCCCATCACCCCACAGGACCACCATGCATCACCGCCCAATCTGCGCCGCCTGGTGCCGCATCGCCTTAGAGCACTCTCAGAGGAGGGTTGCCTCGTGAAGGTAAGAGCAGGGAACACCATGTAGGTGCCATGGTTCAATTCTTGGCAATCTGTGGATTCATACAGCGCTCTCAGAGGAGGGTTGCCTCGTGAAGGTGAGAGCAGGGGTGCCATGCCACTATGCCATCATGCCATCACCCCATCATGCCCTCATGCCATCATCCCATCATGTCATTATCCCAAGCCGTCATGCCATCATCCCGTCATGCCATCATCCCGTCATGCCATCATCCCATCATCCCATCATGCCATCAAACCTCTATCCCCTCCCACTCCCCCCTCTTCGATTTCTATGACGCACCAATTGGCCACTGAAACACCTTCTCTGCGTTCCTTGCATACTCACGTAGTGCCACCCCCTGCTTTTCTCCCAACCCACTGACAGGTGAAACAGCTTTACCACTAGCCTCGCAGAACACCTCTGTCCCTGCTCTCTCACTCCCACTCATTGGCAGGCGAGGCACCTCAACCACTTGCCTCACATGCTCACATGCTCGTATTGTCCGTCCACCTTCCCTGTGCCCCCCCCCCACTGGCAGGTGAAACAGCTCTACTACCTGCCTCGAAATGCACCGCTGGCTCTCCTCTCTCACTCCCACTCGCACGCCCACTCACACCCTCACTCGCTCACCCACAACCATGACCAAGGGCCAGGGCCAGGGCATGTGTCAGGGCAAGCACAAGGGCAAGGGCAAGGCCATGTGCCAGGGCAAGCGCAAGCGCAAGGGCAGGTGCAGGTGCAGGTGCATTCGCCTGCATCTGTCCGGAGGGCACGGGGGGAAGGCAGGCGGGCGAGTTGGCATGGGGAGGGGCTGGATGGGGAGGGTGCGGGGAGAGGGGGGTGGGGGGGGAGTGGCAAGTGGGAGAGTGAGGAGGGGAGGGTGGAGTGGGGGAGCCGAGGGGGTGTGAGGAGGAGGGATGGTCGGAGTGGCAGGGTGGGCAGTGGGAGTGCTGCAGAGAGGGTAGGGGAGGGTAGAGCCAGTGGGACAGCAGCAGAGGGAAGGGCGGGTGGGGTTGCAGCAGCAGCAACAGCAGCAGTAGCAGGGGTGGAGCATTATCTAGGCATGCGTTCTAGAGCTGCTCTTCACTCCTCTTCCCCCTCTGCCCCCACTGCTGCTGCTGCCGCTGCTCCAGTGGATCGAATAGCAGCAGACCTGTCGCAGGCCCACCTCTCCCCTCTGCAGAGCACCCACACGCCATCTCATGCTTCTGCTGCCGCCGCCGCCGCCGCCGCTGCTGTTGCTGCTGCTGCTGCTGCTGCTGCTGCTGCAAGCACGGGTGGTGCTAGTCCCCATGCTCCTATGGTGGGGCATTTCAAGAAACTCCGCTTTCCTTCGCAGCAGCCAGCAGAAGCAGGAGGAGCCAGCGAAAGAGAACCAGGCATGCAAGACCGGACCGAAACTGGGAGAGCAGGCGAGTGTGTGGGAGAAGGAGTAAAGGAGGGGAAGGCGGTGGGTGCAGCGCAGAGTGCGTGGTTGCAAGAGCTGGCACGGAAAGCAGCAGAGGAGATGGCAGAGGCAGAGGCAGCTGTAGCAGAGGCGGAGGCGGCTATGAGAGAAGCGGAGGCCATGGAAGCTGAGGCAGAGGCAGCAGAGGCGGCAGCGAGAGAGCTTGAGGGCAGGAGGCAAGCTGCTGCCGTCAGCTCATAGCAGTTCGAATGCGGTAGGAGATGCGGTAGGGGAAGCGGCAGGGGAAGCGGCAGGGGAAGCGGCAGGGGAAGGGGCAGGGAAAGTGGTGCGTGCAGCATCTGGCACGGAAGGCAGCAGAGGCGATGGGAGAGGCAGAGGCAGCTGTAGGAGAGGCAGAGGCGGATGAGAGAAGCGGAGGCCATGGAGGCCGAAGCAGAGGCAGCAGAGGCAGCAGCACGGGATCTGGAAGGCAGGAGGCACGCTGCTGCTGTCAGCTCGCAAAGAACTGAAAGTGGTAGGGGAAAGCAGCAGGCGAAGCAGCAGGGGAAGCAGCAGGGAAAGCAGCAGGGAAAGCAGCAGTGGAAGCAGCAGGGGAAGCAGCAGTGGAAGCAGCAGGGGAAGTGGTAGGGGAAGCGGTGGATGCAGCACCTGGCACGAATGGCAGCAGAGGCAGAGGCAGAGGCAGCAGCGGCAGAGGTGGAGGCGGCAGTGAGAGAGGCGGAGGCCATGGAGGCTGAAGCAGAGGCAGCAGAGGCGGCAGCTAGGGAGCTGGAGGGCAGGAGGCACGCTGTTGCCGTCAACTCGTAGCAATTCGGAAGCGGTAGAGGAAGCTGCAGGGAAAAGCGGTGGGTGCAGAAGCTAGCACGGATGGCAGCAGTGGCAGCTGTGGCAGGGGCAGAGGTGGCGGTGAGAGAAGCAGAGGCCATGGAAGCTGAGGTAGAGGCAGCCGCACGGGAGCTGGAGGGCAGGAGGCACGCTGCTGCTGTCAGCTCGTAACGAGTCGTTACTGCTGTCAGTGTGGGTGTGGTTGGCAGCACCAGCTGCCACCTCTGCAGCAGCTTGCTTGCATGTGTCGCAGCAGAGGTGGCAGCGAGGGAGCTGTAGGGGAGGAGGCAAGCTGCTGCTGTCAGCTCTTAGCTCGTTAGTCTGCACTGCTGCTGTCAGCTTATAGCAATTCTATTGCTTGTGTCAGCTCATAGCTATCACTATCAAGAAACATCGTCCAGTATGACAGTCCTTGAGTGAGAGAATATGTGCTGCTGATGTGCCGCCATGTGTGTTATTCTGAGTGGTTGTTGTGTGAAAGAAGCCCTTAGGATCGTAGCGACCGGTAGGTCAGATTGTAACAGCGGAAGTTCTGGGAGCTGCTGCACTGATATACGAGTATGCTTTTGTATATTGAGTACACTTCTGTTTATGTATCAGAGAGGCACAATAACAATCCCACAACGCGTACGCCAAAAACTCAATCCCAAACCAGACATTTCTAATGGCGGAGGTTCTGACCCTTATCCAGATATGAGGTCGCAAATCGTCGCACAATCTGTTCATCGTTGGCGCGAACGTCAAAAGCAACACTTTTGTCATCTGGCTGGCATCCTACCGAACCTACAACCTGTGTCCAAAACGAACCTACATGGCTTGGGCCCGTTCGTTCGCACATCCTTCTTTTCTCTGCGCCGCCAGTCACCTTCAGACCGAATAGATTTGCTTTGCAGGCATCCCAGCACAGCAGCCCAGCCCTCCTCCCAACTGTTGCCCGCCTGCCTGCGAGCCCCGTATGATCCCCGCCCCTTTCCTGTGTTGGTGCATCGCGAAACTTGGGTTTCTGGTTTTCCAACCGAAAGCCAGTCGTTGACAGCAGGAGGGGTAAAACCAATCGTCAATGCCTCGCAAACCTGTCCAGTTGGCCAGTAGGTTTCGACATCCCAGTTTTCGGGCGGCTCATTTGCGTGTTGCCAGGTATTTCATCGGCATGTTGGTTGACACCAACCAATCACTGAGACACGGGAGGCGAGCCTCCGGCTTGGCTGAGGTTGGGAAATGCCCCAGTTGCTAGCGAACCAATCGTTTGATTGGAGGTTCCGAGGTGTTGGGGCTTCGACAATGTGGGACGAAGACATCGTCTGGGTGACCTGTTAATGAGACATTCAGGAACATGTAGATGTGGCATGTAGAACGGAAATGAATTTCAATTAGATGCTGGTTTTTTATAGTGGCCATTATTAATTTCAATGTACTTATTAGGTGTGCTATGAACGGTGAGTTACATGTATGCGAAACTTGCGAAGAGAATTTAGCCCGTGAATTATAAATGATATGAATGTAACAATGTTAATTAGATTATCACATTCAGAGATTGGTACATATAATATATATATGCTGGACTGTAACCACGTGTTACAGGATTTGTCAAAGGAATTGGCGCGCGAAATGGAAGTGTCAGGACGAGGCACCTCCAGAAATTTTGTAGTGTCGATTGCACGATCGCTGATTGCACTGCGCTGAATGTCTCTGAAAGCATTCAAAATTCACTACACCAATTTTTACTCCGCAAAAAATCGAACATGCGCAGGTTCGATCGCAGGTACGGTGATACAAGGGTCGGGTCCTTATCTTGTCGGTGGGCTGGGAGGGAGGGTGGTGCGGATTTGCAGGGACTGTAGAGAGGCGCGAGAAAATGTACACGTGGCCCAGTTTCCACGCGTGTGCACTATTACACTCGCATCAATTTCGGCAGTCGAATTTCGATCAGCTCAGCCACCGCACTGAAAACCTGCTATTACAACATGACCTTTTTTAAACCCTGCTTTGTGTCAATGATCAATGGACACGATTGTCTCCGTTCAGATTTCAGGCAATGGACATGATCGCTCTCCATTCAGATTTCAGGCAACGCGCCTTACCCAATAACAAGAATTCAACGGCAGAATGTGTGTGTGAGGTTGACCCAGGGTGATGCCGTGGCAATAGAGTATGGTGAAGAAATGACACCGTGTCCCGAAATTGACGCGTGGAGTTGCACAGTGACTCCGATAGCACAGAGTTTGGGACAACTTCAGCTGCAATCCAATTTAGCCAGCGCGGTTCGCAAATGCGATCCCTAACAGTCCGCCTGGAAGAAGCTGATGGGTCGTAATCTTCCCACGGTCAGAAAAACATAAACCCCATCTGGATGGCATGCGATTAGGGGAGCCCCAACCCTAAACACGGGGAGCCCCGACCCTAAACACGGGCAGCCGCATGGTTCTGCCCGAAAAGATTGCATTTGCAAACCCGCACTGGGAAAATGAGATCGCAATTCGAATTGTCCGCACAGAATTACCACCCAATGATACCCAACAGCCAGATTCAAAGTAGGCGAAGGTGCATCCCAATGTTTCTTCTGGTGCATCCCACCCGCACCCTTCCCATCCTCTGCTCGCATTCACAGATCAATCATTCAGTTTTTTAGTCATTCATCTGCTCCATAGCTGTTTCTCAGGCACGTTCCCCTACTCCCTCCGCGTCGCCTACTTAGAAAAATCATTTGACAGGCTCAATCTAGCTGGCGCCGAGGGCACTGTTTCTCTCGACGTCATCAACCCGAAATCGCGTGCAGGATATTCTCAGGTAATCAGAAATCCGTAGCATTTTTTTTATTATTTTTTTTTCCAGGTCTGTAGGTTTCGTCCGTAGTCTCGCGAGTATCTGTGTTCTGCGCGAATGTTCACACTGCCCTTTATCATGCTGCCGTGATTTCGCGTTATTTTCATTGAAGCTCCTTCTTCATCGTGTTATCTGTGCCATGCTGAGAATGGTTAACCACCCTGCCTGTACACCATGTTTTTCCAGGTGTTTTGCTACTACCGCACCTACATTTCGACACCCAGAGGTAAGCCAGTATTGCAGGGAGCAATAATACATCGGTGCTCTGCTTATCTTGCTGAGCTGTTCGTTTTTCTTTTTCTTTTTTTCCTTTTATGGATAACTGTGTATATGAGTAGCAGGGTTTCGTGCCTTCCAGGCTACGATCACTAACATTTCTTATGGCATTTCGTGTACCTGCAGGTTTGCTGAAGGTGTTTCAGCCGAAGATTGTTGCTTAGGGACTTCTAGATGTAGGCACATTGAGGATTAGGACTTGGTGATCTGAGTTGTGTCAATCATATACACTTGCATTGTACCAGTTTATAAAGTTGGCAAGATCCTACTTGGTAGAATGGAAGAAGGGGGGCATTATCGATGTGACGTGAAGGACTGCATTGCAAAATTTCCTACTTCGTTGGCAAAGGCATGACATATGTCGAAGGGAAAGCACAAGTTCAAGGCTCCTGATGCAACTCCAGAGCTGCGAAACGAAAGTAGCCAGGGCGGAGCTGCAGAGGCGCTCCAAGCTGCAGTAGAGCGCATTCGCACGAGAACAACTTAACGTACCCGCATTGAAGCGCAGGCAGAGAGTAGTCGCATGGCAGAGGACGTGGGCGCTGCAGAGATGAACGAGGACCCAACAGGGTATCGCTTCTCCTCCGGTGGTGACACATCGAAGGTGGATCCCGACGCACGCGTGTATCGTTTTGTAAGGACGGCTGTAGGAGGTTCCGGACTCTCGAGGGTGGATATCAAGGAGTTGATATCCATCCTCCTAGAGGTGTTGAGCAATCCCGGGCGTCTAACCATAAATTCCCTTGCCGCATTTGATGGCTACGAGAAGTTGCAACTCGCCGATGCCAATTTGCACCCTTTCGAGCAGGTTAATCTTGCGAAGGAGGGGGATTTGGAGCCGGTGATCATGTGGCGTCGCTCTGCACTGAACTGCGTGGCAAGCCTATACTAGAACGTGGCGAACGCGGACGGCTTTGTTGTGAAACCACCGCCACCCAATAGAGACCCTGAAGCTAAGCGCATATACAAGGGTCCTGAGACGGGGAGCTGGTGGCGAGAAGTCCTAGCCGAATTGCCACAAGGGGCGTCAGTAGCTGCGGTGATTATATACTCCGACGAAACGACACTCACCATCGATGGAGGACTCAAGGGATGGCCAGTGTACATCTCACTGGCCAACATTGCTTCGGGTAATCATTGGAAATCGCACGGCCATCGACTTGTCGCTCTGTTACCCGACGACGACGGCGGCTTCTACGCGAAAGGGAATGAAGAGCGTCGGCGGCTTGAAGTGTTCCAGGAGGCCCTGAATCTCATCATGGAGGACTTGAAGGCCGGGCAGTACAAGTAAGTGCGTTATTCGTACGAATACACTT